CAAGAGACAAAATTAAACTGGCGCTAAACCACATGATGTCATTTTGTTATGTGAATAGCTACAAGCTACAATGCATGGGTTGTTATTAAGCAATAATTACAAAGCTTAATTATTATTTATTGTTTATTACTAGGGAATTAGGTATGTACGTAAGTACAAGGAATTTCCATGCTGCATTAACCCGTCGTGTGTCTAAACGTGTATCCACGAGAGACACAATGTATTTTCTATTGTGTCTCATATATAGGCATTCAAGCGGTTAAAGTTGACATATTTTTAGTAAGTTTTGTACCATGTACAATAATAAACTAAAACTATTAGACAGTTTGACTTATAATTAAGATTAAAATGAGGAAACTAGAACTTATAAAATCTCCAGTTGGTAAGTTTAAAAATTGTTTTGGGTACTTCCAATGACATTTTGACTCGGTCCTTAGATAACCTATCACAAGTATGTATCACAGAACCTACTAGTAACTAAGTTATGGACTTACTTATTCATTGCTCTGCATTAGTCAGATCTAATTACTGGAAAAACTATAAAAGGATTTTCCATAGCTCAAAGTACGTAGATAAAGAAATACAAAACGCTTTTAAGTATACGCAGATGAAGAAAAAAATCAGTAAAGATATATGTATGTCTCTTATTTATTATTAACTCGTCGAGTACCGGTTTTATAGACACAATTAAAGAACAATAGGTCGCGGTCACCGGTGACCGCTTGGTGTTTGACAGTTTAAATTAAATGATAAGCATAAAATTTATGCAAGTCTCAACTTTCAAATCTTCAGAACTACTTACTTTTTAAAACGTAGACAAACTTCTTTTGGCATTAGAACCAAACTTTTTGATTATTTATAGTTTGCTTCTATGCAAAGGTCACAATCAAACAGCCAGTCGAAATAAAAAAGTTTTCGTAATAAAAGTTCTTGTTTATTTTTAATCGGCTGCCAACGACCGATGTCCAGTCACCTTCGTTAAATCATGAGTGGCCACTAAAAATAGATGTTACGTTTTTGTTTACACCACTTTTAGTGGACAATGGCTGACTTGTATGTTGCAGGAAATTCGACAGTGCTAACAAGCAGTCTGCATGTAGCTGATAATTACCAGTGATGCACATAACACCGGGGTAATGACTCCTGATTTAGAACAATGAATCAGTCATTTAATGACATGAAGCATCCAAATAATACAGTTTTCTCGTACATAGGTAGGTGTTGGCGCGCATTAGCGGGACGCGAGAGGTGAGGCGATATAGACAACAAAACATCTACATATAGGCACTATTCGTATTTTAATATCGACGCCTGTCCTGTGTAATTTCCTACATGGGCTTGCTGTTATTGCAATAAGGGGAATTACTGCTGGTAACTCCCCTCTTTTAAGAGTGACCTGAGAGACGCCTTGTATTCCACGCGCGCCTCACAGACCACCACAGATGGGCCCCAGTAGAAATGATGCCGATACAGAGCCGCGTAAGACTTAACGGGTTGCCAGGGTTTCGGCTCGAAGAGCAGGAGTAGGACGTAGGAACAGGCTGGTTCTTAGTCAGTAAGAGTCTGAAACTCCCTCTCGCCTCACCAGGGCAGGAGGACTTATTGACTGATTTTCCCTCCTCAAAAAATACTTTAAATAGCACGCAGACACTTATTAATCATAATAATTAAAACACAGGGGACATTATTGACGACATGACGTTTAATTATGGCGCGCAATTGTTTATGACAAGGCCGCCATTGTTATTCAGCTTGTCTCTGACGTTTCGAGGTTGGCTGTCCTTTGGGATCAGTAATATTTTGCCTATGACCATGTCAAAAAGGTCACAAGTCAGTCACGTGTAAGAATTTTGAGGAAAAGATAGTTATTTAAACGACTTTACCTTATTTTGAACAGGAAAAGAATAGGGTAGATGCCTAATTTTTATTTAATATCCGTCTGGTAGATTATTTTAAATAAATCATTAGACACATATTTTATATTTTCTTACAGATACGAATACTTTCGACGATATATTAATTTAAAAATCTTTGTACATTTTACACGTAGAAATGACGTTTTAGCCACTGATATTAGTCATACCGGGCACAATTCCAGACTCCGTGCTACTACTGAGAATTTTTAAAAACCCAGTAATACTTCGCCCCACGCGGGAATCTAACCCGAGACCCCTTGCCCGGCAGTCGCACTTGCGACCACTCGGCCAACAAGGCAGTCAAATTTCAAATTTCTAAAGATTCATGCTAAACGAAGGTACTTACAGCATAAAAACCTTAAATTCTGTATTCATAGAATTTAACTGCGAAAATAGCATCATAAACTTCGGAATATTTTATCCGTGTTAAAGATCTATAAATTACTTTTGAAACTCGAAAGTCTTTGTTCAATATTTAGCAGACCAGACGAAATAACATTAGAATTCAACTTCGCACCCTTAAGATTAATGATCCATTTGACCTTGAAAGCATTGATCCTTATGTCTTTAGGGCACAGAATAAAAGAGGAACTTAAAGGAGAGATAAATATAAAAATACTGCTCAAGACTGCCTCATTGGCTGAGTGGTCGCAAGGGCGACAAGGGCAAGGGGTTTCGGGTTCAATTACCGGATCGGGCAAAGTTTTTTTTTTAAACGTTGCCCCACATTAGTATTTTCTCCTGTGTCGTGGGTGCGTTTACAAACACACAAGTTCACATACACAATGACACCCAGACCCGAAACAACAATTTGTGGATCACACAAAGTGTTGTTCCGTGCGGGAATCGAATCCGCGACACGTGGCACGGCAGCCGGTTGCCCAGCCACCGCACCAACCGTGCAGTCAAGTCAAAGTATTATTGGGTTTTTTTAAATTCTCAATAATAGCACGGAGTCTGGAATTGTGCCCGGTATATGATAATAGGCTCACCCTCTATTACATGGGACTCATAACATAGAGGTATATAGTGAAAAGTGTGTGTTACATTGTACAATGGCATAATGTGCATCTCTGCCTACCCCTTCGGGGATAAAAGGCGTGATGTTATGTTATGATAAATATAAAAATATTATTGCAATATTATAGCATTGTTTCGCCCTCTCCCCTATTTGTAGCCAGACGAATGATGTCATAGGATGTTTCAAGGGCGAAAAGGATTTGTTACCCTCCCGAATATGTCCACAACTTTATTATAGCCATAGTTATAGCTATTCTTGAATTTATTTACTTACTGACACAAAATCTGCTATCTGCTAAGTTATATCCGTGACTCTAAATCCATCCCAATCTTTAAAAGACTCGTAAGGGAGCACTACTTTTCCTCATCTTGTGCAAATTAGTGTCATATATATATATATATATATATATATTTGTGTATAATATGTTTATTTGTAATATACTCTAATATTTGTATTATTTGATGTGTATCTATCATATGTATGTATAGGTTTATGTATTTTATTGAGATCTATTTATTTAATACATTATTTATCGATTTCATTTTTGTATGTAGTTTTAAGTTTCTATTGGCTTATATTTTGTTCTTTTTCTTTGTTCATGCTATGTTACACACAGTGTCTAATTTTTTACCGTTTTTCCTGTCGAAGGACTGCAGGAAGAGATTCCTACGGGAATATGTAGTACCTATGTACCTCCAATTTATTTATATATGTATTCTCCTTTGTATTGTCTCTGTGTTGTGCATAAATAGATAAATAAATAAATTATAATAAAACTGGAAATTCTGAAGAAAAGTTCGAATTTCTAATACAATATTGTATGAATTTAAAAATCGATATGGATTTCATTGTTTTTGTCGATGAATGCACCGGCAAGATTAGTTATTGTATTGTTGATAGTAATTCTGATTAATAAATAAATAAGTGTGTTTAAAATATTTTTTTCTCTTATTACTAAGTATACTATGTATAGAATAGAAATGTTGTTTTTATATTTTTTTATATGTCAGTAAGTACTGAGTAGGTAGGTACTTATTTTTTAACTTTTACTTAATCGGAGTCAGGATAATGCGTATCTATAGGACTACCTATAAGTGTAAGGACTATAAGTGTAGATATATCTTTATATATATAATTCTTCTGTGAGTGTGTATGTCACTGAACTTCTCTCAAACGACTGGACCGATTTTGATGAAATTTTTTGTGTGTGTTCAAGGGGATCTGGGAATGGTTTAGATTCACAAATCAGCCTGGCAGATGGCGCTGCAGTCATTGTTTAGGTTATTTATCCTAAACAGCTGAAACTAATTTGAATGAATTTTTGTTTATACATTCAAGTGGATATGCAGGACAACGTCTGTCGGGTCCGCTAGTAACAATATACAATATTATCCCACGCCTCTTCAACTTTCAACCGACACCAATTGTACAATCACGCATTCTTAAAATAATTATGTATTTTTTGAACTCTTCCAATTATTTTAATCGAATCAAGTAGCGAGTGAAAGCTTCGTAAATAAATAAAACATTTCTTTTTCTTTCTCTAATCGAAATAGACATTTGTATTCAAATGAGGTCGTCATTGTTTTTAAAATGATTTAATTTAAATAAAATATTGCACCGACGACGCCCGACGGCACTGCTAAGAACATAATCGCGTTCTTTAAAATAATTTTCTATTCACAACTCTTTTTACTTCAGTACCTCAGCTCTATGGTTCAAGGTCCTTTACATTAAATAACTAAACTGTGTGACCGATTATTGGGAAACATATAACAGTCGTCCTGTATTAAATAAGTAAGTGTAAGTAGTGATAGCTTCTGAAGCTCAGTGCTAACTCTTGTTTAGACCAGGCCTAATGATAGGCTTAAGGACATTTTTTAGCATATAGGATAGAATTAACTTTGAGCTCGAAGTTGTTAAGAAACTAAATGGTGATACTTCGTATTGTAGTCCAAGGACCACTTTCCTCACAATACAACGAAATAAGTAAGTACAGATATACGACCTATTTTTTTATGGCATAGAGGCAAACGAACGAACGCCCCACGGCTCGGACAAGCTCATCGCCACTCAATACATTGCAGAGATTTCTCTGCAGAGATTTCTCTGCAGTAATCAACTTTATAATATTTAAATCCAAAAACACTTACTTGTAATATAGCGGCTGCTAATGCCGTCATTGCCACCATCAGCACCTGCTGCCTAGCATAACTATGCAGCGGTTTTCCGCAGCCTCTTTGGTATACCATTGAGCAGTCTGCCGCGTAGGGTTTGTGGAGGGAGTCCAGGGGACCCTGCCCGCAGCAGGAGAAGGGAACGTGGCCTTTTGATGTGTAGTCACTGGGACCTGAGACGCCACAGCACTCGAACTGAAATTGAGAGAGATAATTTCTTATTTGGGTATTCAATATTTGGGAGTGAAAATTGTCATCGCATCATAGGCTGTTGGAGCAGCAGAGAATGTAAAATGTAACCGGGGCTCCGGCTCGACGTGCAGGAATAGGAACGGGGTGGTTTTTAGTCAGTAAGAGTCTGACACTCCCTCCCGCCTCACCCAGGCGGGGGCAGTCATTCGATGATTTTCCCCCCTTAAAAAAAAGGTTGTTGGAGCCGTGGAGAACGTAAAAGGTTACCGGGGCTCCGGCTCGAAGTGCATGAGTAGGAACCGGGTAGGTAGGAGTCTGACACTCCCTCCCACCTCACCCAGGCGGTAGAAGACATTCGCCATCCGTGGTATAGGCGTAGGATTATGTACTATCAACTAGCCCTTTAAGAGCTATAATAACACATACTAATCTAACACGTCCTCACCTTAACTTGTATCCTATCCCATCGTATAACATCTACGTCTGTATTATCAGTCTTCGTCAGTGTGTGTTCAAAGTAGTGCGATAGAGTGGACTTAATGTCTATCTCCACGTTGTCCCACACGACCATGGCCCATACGAAGCAGGAGAACTCGATCACGACCACCAACACTATCAGGATCCCCGTCTGGAAACATTGTAATGGAATATCAATTTACAATTTAAGATATGTTTTTGGAAATTAGGTTGAGACTCTAGTTGATCGATGAGGGATTTGTGTATCTTATCTGCACATTGCAAAAACTGCTAATACGGACTTCAAAATTATGATTTTCTTGAAGAATATGGAATGTTGTGTTCAGTATTTTGCAATAATATTGTTACCTGAATCAGTCACCGTATTAAGTGTTTCTATTTACTGTTCTGTCTAACAATAAGAACTGACTGAATGTTATTACTTTCAGGATCAATCTGATCATTGATAGTCGTTAGACACTCGCCGTATTATACTTTTAATCATAATTATCCTCATGCGTATAAGAAGCCAAATTAAAATATATAGTTTCATTTCCCAGACGTAATGTGGATTGGATTGTCTAACTGAGATCATCAAACCATTCCCAGCGAAGTTATGCGTTCAGTTGAGTCACTTTTCCGGTAGACGAACGACTAACAAAAAGTGGCCATGAGGCATGACAGACTGGATACGGAAATCTAAACCTATGTTAAAATGAAACGTCGTTAAAATTGATCCTAAAAACCAATGACCTCACAGCAAACAAGAGCAGATGAATACAATGAAAATTAATGCAGTTCAACGTGGAGTAATTAATTCATAACAGTTCAGGTCGAGGTTGATATCTACTTGGTTAATTAAATCATTTGTAAGCTTGAAGGTATGTGTTTCTAAGCGAGTTCTAGAAACTCAGTTTTAAATCTTTGGATTCACGCAACTGCGTGCTGAGATGTCGCTAACTCTAGTACCTAACTCTAGCATTTGATGATTTGATCTATCATTCCGCCATTGTACTGTAATCATACAGTTGATCTCCAGTCCAGGATCAATTAGATAACGACGTGTTCGAAAAGATACTGACGTAGACTGACGTGACTCACTGAGTCACGAAATTCACTGTATTAGTACTTACAATAATAACATGTATCTGATGCATCGACTTAGTAGTTCTCCAGCCAATCCAAGCAATGGAGCATGTGATGATGGCCATCATCAGCAGGAGTATAGCTGGATATTCCACATTGACTCCAATAAAGTGCCGGTATATGAACAACTTGTAAATAAGAAAACCGCTCGCACCAAACAGCACAACAGCTGACATCTGTTGACAATAAACGGAACTATTATGGAAAACTATTATAAACCGGATGAAAGAAAATGTCGTATACAACCACTGTAAACGATCGAATCTCCTTTTCTTATTCATACATAAGTCGCGCCACTAGCGCCAGTTTCAAGATATTAGATGTGCTTTCTGAATTTGTTGGATTATCTTTATTGATCGTGCAATGCACTCGTAAGAAAAAGTCTCTGCAATTATAGCATTGAATAAAATGTGTGTCAGCACTATTATTGCTCTATTCTACGAACAGTTACAGGATTATACAATTAAAATTGAATATTGTTGAATGTATTGACCGTAACTTGCATGTTTTAACATAGTTGTTATGACAACAAAGGGGAATTTCGGTGGGTCAGCACAATTCCAGGAAAATAAACAAATGTTTTCTTAAAAAATAAATAATACTCACTGCGAATAACACATTGAAGATTAGAACCAGATATTTCCAGCAGTTCGTCGAGAGTCCCATTGTGATTTTGTGTGTTCACATGTCAGAAATCTTGTTTGAAACTCGATTCAAAACAAAGAGCGCTCGTTCCGCACAGGGAATGTTTGTGTACAGTGGTCGCACCGCACGACTCGAGTGATGCAAGCACGACACCGCTAACTGTACGAAACGAAATTAAACATTCGACATTTTATCTTTCGGACGCAACTTATCAGTTTATTTTGTTTTAAATAGAAAAGGGCGCGTCGCTTATATTATAACTGACGAAGAATCTAAAGCTTCTTAGAAAATGACATCATATTGATGTCGATGTGCCACTATCGGCTTATCATGATAACAGTATAAAACTGTTGTTGTAATCTAACCTACTTTGGGACCGAGATAGCTAAATAGCACAAGTTTACGTTCTGCAACGAGGTGTAGTGGTTATAAATAACCAGTTGACACTTGTTGGCCACCGACATTGTGCGCCCTAAAATACTAATAATAATAGGTGCATGATCGTTTTACTTCGGTTTGTTGGGCTTTTCAAGTGACACCTTTAGTACGTAATAAATACGTACCTAGTAGATTTAAAAAATCTAATCCGCTTTATACATATACCTACATTTAGCAATTTCGTTTTATTAATGAAAGAACTTGGTTGTGAAGTTGTAAACATAATTTAATGAAATACTCAATAATATAAGCACAATGTAAATAGGTCTGGTTTAATTATTGAAATTAACTAAAAACAATAGATAGGTAATTCTTCCATGCGAGACACCAGCACCAGCGGCTTGGAGTCACAGGTCCTTGACCTGTTAAATTAGTTTAATACCGACAAAGTATCTTCGGCGGGTAGCTGGCAGGGCAGCCGTCCTTTTATAATGATGCTGACCACAATATCCTCAATAAAGATAATGTCAAGATAAACTAATTTTGAATCAACGTTTTAGATATAATCACATAGACACAGATTTTTCACTAGAAAGTCAGACATTTTTTCTAATCCCACCAATTCCATAACTTTTGTTAGTTCCTTATCAATGTCTGGACTCAGAGGACCTACTTGCTTTGCTGTACGTAACATAACTCTTGCTTTGTTTAAATCTAAGTCGTACATAGCCAATATAGCCAACATTGCCCAACCATCCGCCAACAAGGGTTCGGTGTTAACAGCGGCGGCCAGCCATCGTTCTGCAAGCCAAACTTTACCCATAGTTGCATAGATACGACCAATCAAAAGAGCAGTATGACCAGATGGTGCCGCTCTATGAGCTCGAGCCGCCCTTTGCAAGGCTACCATAGGATTTAGTTTAAAGCTCTTCAAAGATGCAACATACAAAAGCGAAGAACACAATTCAGATCCTGCATTTTCTGCTTGATGGATTGCTATCTCACAATCACGATCCCAGTTCCGAATACGAGCCATACAAGTTGCACGCATTTGAGACATAACGGGTGTTGGCCCAAATTTATTTATTCCTTCCCTTATTATTTCCATTGCAGCTTCCAATTTTCGCTCCAAAACCATGGCGGCAGCCCGTAAATAATACACGTCAGGAGTAATTTCACATTGAAAAGTATAATTTCCACTGCTTGCACAATCCGACTCTACACATTGTAATAATGCTTCCGTAAATCTGTAGCATCGAAGACAAAGAAAAAATGCAGCTGCTATCAAAATAGGATTATCAGTTGCTATGACAGTTGGCAGCCAATATATTTCTTCCTCTCCGCTTGTTTCGGTCCATCGAGCTAAAATTTTATCCCATTCCAAGGGTAGCGAAAAAGCTTTTCTCATTTTTTTCGCACATACAAACGCTGCATACTCATTTCCATTGACGTGATGGAAAGCATGTAGAGCCGCCCAACCAATTGAATTGGCAGTTCCATCTGAATAATCGCCTTTGACAGCGATACGAAGAGCAGCGCCAGCTATTACTAAGTCCTCATCTTTTCCATCAAATTGTAGGCCTCCATACATCCACAATAAATACCTATTTCTAGTTTGTCCACTTAAAGCTTCAAGCAAATAATTCTTAGCATCTTCATTCTTGCCTTCTTCTATACAACGTAATGTTTTAGTTATTAAAGTTCTTGGGTGTCTTCCTATGATTTTATAATTTGTTTCGTTATGAATTTCAGCAATTCTATTATCTCCTGCGATTCGACATCTTGCTGCAGCAATATTGCTTGGAAGACGAAGTGGTGGAGGTTGAGGAGCAAAAGATGCGGTGACGGCGCGTCTACATGCGGCATGCTGAGCAGTTACTGTATCCTGCCAATCAAGATAAGAACAATTTCCGGGAGGGAAGTTTTTGAGCACTGCTCGTACACGCATTAGTAATCGATTTGCGGCAGTTTTCTTTATGCCCTGGTTCATTTGAATCACACCTTTACAAGCTAATGCACTTAGTTCTTTGTGGACAGCTAGAGCACCTGCTTCTTTGCTTATGGTCCTAGCGTCAACAATAGTATCGACACCTACAATGTCAGAATCGGAGTGATCTTTTGGGATGTTAGCATCTTTAGGCAGAGAAAATCCCATTATGTCATATAAGTTATCTAATTTACTCTTCTGTACTAAAGACTCAGCTAAATCGAATCGTATTATAATATAACTATTATGTCCGTATTCGTCTAATACTTCATGTTCACCTTCACGAACACTAGCTTTCGCACTCGAAGCTGGAAGGTCTAGAAGATTACAGGCACTTTCAAATTTATTAGTTTCAGTAAACAATTTGAGCTTTGAACAAATTGTTACTCCTGTCTGACCTGGTTCCAACAGCACTTTGGCATCTACAGATGCTAAATATCTTCCTCGGACTTCTACTTTTCCAAACCTCGGCACTGCTGCTACCTCAAGTGTGAATGGTGAAGATAGTCTAGCATACAATTGTTCTGGGTCCACTAACACTCGTTTCATAGCGTTCCAGTAAAAATGTCGACAATTTTTATGCTCTTGAATTTTTATATCACTTGGCATGAATATATCGTCAGTGTGAACGTTCATTGCTGTTTCGGCAGCAGGACCGCCGGTGCTAACATTTGCGAATACAATTTTCTGTGCACCGGCAGAACTTAGTGACATATTAAAAGGCATTGCCTTTGGTTTGTGAATTCCATTTAACCCAATAGCACTTATATAAACAGTACCATCTTTCGCTGTTGGCAGGCAATGAGCTGAGATCATAGTCATCGTCAAAGGCACCATAGTTTCATCTACAAGCCCTGGTGAAATGGCACGAACTACAACTGAATATGGGGAGATTTCGCCTGTTGATGTTGAGACTAAGTTAGAAGTAACCAAAATTCTCTGCTCCCCCAAAAGAAGTGGAAATAAATCTACACTAGCACCATAACGGTTATCTGGATGAATTAAAGGATCTGGTTCTTTAGACGTTTTTCCTCCAGTGATACGCATAAGAAGGAATAAAGGGGAATTTGCTACAATGGTTTGAGCATGTGGGTCGTTAATGTTAATCGGCATAGTAATGGACATTATAGTCTCGTCATCCTGCCATTTTGTTTCCACCAGAGTTGATCCATTAAACAAAGCCAAAAAATGGTATTCTCCTGGTACATGCGAAGCACCTTGTAAAACCATAGATAAACTAACACACCGTGGTGCATGCAAACTGTCATTGGATTCTATTAGTAATGTTGGATCAGTCGACACTGATGCACTTATTTTGCTTTTGGTTTTACTTTTTGTCCGAGTGGAATCGCTTTTGGGACCCATTTTATATTTACTTCACGTCTATCTATAGAAATACCTATACAGTTTTTCACCTGAAACCCTTAAGAACTGTCGAATGAAGACAAAATGAAAACGACATAATTATGTCTTGAAGTGACAAGGTTTTGACTTCCCATATACTTACCTATACTCTTTGGATTTGACCAAAGAGTTTCCCTATACTTACTTATACTCTTTGCCAAAAAGTTATGTTTTTTTACGAACACCCAACGCACCTTATCTCCGTTGTTGAGGTTTAAGAGTCCTATGTAATCTATATATATAAAAGAAAGTCGTGTTAGTTACACTACTTATAACTCAAAAACGGCTACATCGATTTGGATGGCAATTGGTAGGGAGGTAGATTAAAACCAGGAGACGGACATAGGATACTTTTTCATCGCCTTTTTTTTTACTTTTTACCGAAAATCACGAAAGGGAACGGGAAAGAACGGGATTGCGCGTACGAAGTTGCGGGCAGAAGCTAGTTATACATAAACAATACATAAATATATATATATATGCAGCACACTAGTCTAGACTAACTTAGACTATACCTACGTAAATAGATCATAGACGGCTAACCTAGTGCCATACAATAAATAAATGATAATTCTATTAGTATGTAAGTATGATAAATAGTTCCAAAACCAAAAATGTTCCGTAGTGGTAATGGTAATAGTTAAGTTTATAGTACTTTGTCTGACTCGAGAATCAAATCTGAGACCTCTTGATAGAGTAGTCTTGCGACGGCTCGACCAGTGAGACAGTCTCTGGCAGTCTGCATATTAGATTGTTTAAGTTTCATCTACTTATTCTTGTAACTAAAGGTTTCTAGTTAATACTAGTTTCTAGTTGATCCTTGCAAATTTTAATAAGCTGTAACCACTGTGAAAATTTTGATATGCTCACCTATCAATTTTAAGTCTGTCACTATACGTGAGGACTTGTAATTGGCTTTCAGTAGTTTATGTTGGCTTCTATTTTTATGTAGTTTTAGCTGTAAGTCCTCCAGGGTGTAATAAATAAATAAATAAATAACACGTACATTTATGTTATTGTTGAAAAATTATCAAACCATTGTAGAAAAATTATTCATTCAAGTCTTCTCATTCCAAGCCATATTTTAGGTAATCGGCATCAATTTCCTGTTGTTGGTTGGTTGGTTGGTTGTGGCAACCGAGTGTATTCATGAAGTTGTAATTTCAAAACGAAATAATTTCACCTGTTTTTGACATGACATCATAGTGTCAATTTTGACGTAAATGTGTAACGACAACAGTCTGCAACGTTCCAAAAACTTGATAGTATCTATACAGGATCTTTGGCAATGTTTCTCTCTATCTTTTATATTTTTCGTAATAGAAAACGAGACAACTGATATGTCAAGATCAATTTTGGCAGATGTCACTTTTTCCGAGAAATAAACTGTGACATTTCATTTCATGAAATCTGCTATTTATTTTGAGTTTTGATGTAAATATTTTTAGCGAATAAAATACATCGTAAAATGTATTAAAATGTATACATTATTACATGGTTTTTACAAATATCTGGTGCAAAAAGACGAATACTGTGTGTTAATATTAGGTCTTGACAATGCTGGCAAAACGGTACTTAAAAGCGTATTATAAATATTGAAAGTTTTACAAATTACTAGTTTTGATTTAGTTTGACTAGTGTATAATGTATATATGTTATTTGCAGACGTATCTGGAAGCTACAAAAACAAAATTTACGAAGAAATATAAGGCAATGAATCCTAACAGGATAACAACAACTGTTGGGTTAAACATAGGAAAAATTGATGTAGATGGCGTAAGACTTAATTTTTGGGACCTCGGAGGGCAGCAGGAGTTGCAGAGTCTTTGGGACAAAGTATATATCTAGAACCTATCTTCAAAACAATCTTCTGTCATGCAATAATACTTTAACTATGGTTTATTGAAAAAGTTTTATAGGAGATGTTAATTGTTATGTTTGAGTAATGACTGTTATTACGAAAGTAATGAGAGTACATTTATGTCTAATCTCCTTCATAATTCACCGATTCATATACATATTATATCAATTTGTATATCTCATTGCTATCGAGTCTATTTTAATTTTATCATTGTTTTCCAAGGTCAATTTGTAGGTATTTGAGTCATATATTATTTTTGACCCTGAGGATCGACAATAATATTTTTTACAATATTGTAAGATGTAATATAAATTTCAAAAATTAATATAATAAAATTCATAGTTAGTGCAGTTATTTGGAATTTATGGCCACACCACACATGCTAATGTATAATTTTTTTTAGCTTTTTTTCTTAATAACAGTTGTACCTACTTATGTAAATAAATAATTGTATTTTTTTTCTATTTTCCAGTACTATGCAGAGTGCCACGCTGTTATATACATAGTAGACTCGTCTGACAGAGATAGAATATCTGAATCTAAAGAAACCTTTGGTCAGTATCTTTTTATTTGATTTAACACATAATTTAGCTAGAAAAGAATTTTTAAAGATCAAGTTAATATTGTCTCATATTATTTAGACTTAGTACAAAAAGAACTGAATGCCTTGGGCATTGTCTAACAGTATATTCAGTTCATTCTGCCTTTCGATCCAATTCCCAATTTAAGATTACTTTGTCTCCATAAGGTACTTATTTTAACAACAATAACGTTCAAATTTTACTGGGTTGGTTGATTTTAATTAGCAATTGGTTATCAAGTTAAAACTGAAACCATGTTTAGATGAATGATAACCGTATTTCCTGTTTGTTACAAATTATAATGTAGCTTAGTTTTACCTTTTTGTTGTAAAATGAGAATTAGTTATTTGCAATTCATTACAATTTACAATAACCTACTATATAAAAATGAATCCCTTTTTCCCTTGGTCATGGCATCACATGTGAATGGCTGGACCGATTTCACTAATTCTTATTTGTTGTGTTCGTTATTAGTAGGAGAAGGTTCTTACCACAGAAAAAAAATCCAAATCTTGGAAATCGTATGAGAACGGGGGGAATTAGCTAATGTCAATGACTATTGGACATTAAATGCAGTGCATTGCAATTTGGACTAACAGATCTTCGACCCCATTAGCGCTATTTGGAAACATTGACTTGATTAGCTTAATTAAGAAGTGGCACCATACATTTTGAAATAATAAAAAACTTACTTAAAGTGTTGCAGAATTAAAAAAAAATTTTACTTAGTCATATTATTGTTGTTACTTATTCAATTTCTTTTAATTGCCTTTTTTATTTTGTGTTACAGATAGAATGATAGCTTCTGAACACTTGTCCGGTGTACCATTGCTCGTACTAGCCAATAAACAAGACATTCCAGACTGCATGGGAGTTCACACTGTGAAGCCAATATTCAACCAGAACGCACACCTCATCGGTGCAAGAGATATTATGCTGATGGCCATTTCTGCTCTTAATGGGTAACAACGCTGAAAAACATTTTGCATTTTAGTCCCCGAGACCGTTCAATTAAATTCAGTTATACTTTTTACTATGCAGTTGTTTTATGAGTCCCATGTCGCAGGAAATGGACCCAATACCATATACTGTGTACTATCCCAGCGTCAATGCTACAACTAAGAATGATTGATTTATTATCCTCTACCTTAAAGGCCAATGACCAGTTTAATATTTGCCAGTATAATATCTAAAATAAAAAATTTGCTGTTATAATTTGTGCACCAGAATGCTTTAAAACATAACATAACATCACGCCTTTTTTCCCGAAGAGGTAGGCAGAGGTGCACATTATGCCACTGTACAATGTAACACCCACTTTTCACTATTTATGTTATGAGTCCCATGTAATAGGGGGTTAGCCTATTGCCATATACCGGGCACAATTCGAAACTCCGTGCTACTACTGAGATTTTTTTTAAAACCCGGTAATACTTTGCCCGACCCGGGAATCGAACCCGAGAACCCTTGCTTGGCAGTCGCACTTGCGACCACTCGGCCAACGAGGCAATCATTGCTTTGAACTATAAACTATAATTTATAATAAACATGAATGTTACTAAAGAAAAAGAAATGACAATTCTTAATTTGTAATTAAAAGAAAAGTCTTCCATAATAATACCTTTGTCTCTTAATTATTTCCAATTTTATTAATTACTTGAAGTAGTTTATTTATGGCGCTTAATGACAAGTGCAATTAGTTCTGAGAGTCTTTTAAAGCACATGCACACTGTCTGATTTTAGATGGACGACATTTTGTCAAATAATTGCGTCAGAAATTGTTTAACATATTATGAGGTAATAGAACATAATTTGAAATACATAGGTATAATGTTCAGTCAAACTTTGTATTACTTTGACTAAAAAATTATTCTCATCATTTAAAAAACAATTTTTATATGTTACGCTAGTTACGCAACTATAATACTTAGTTTTGAAAAGACAATAAAATAATAATGATACTTTTTCCCATAAATAGTTAACTTTGCAATTAAATCCGTCATTAGGGCTCAATTTACAGTGAACCGGAAAAAGTTGTGTTAAATCTATATTGGTTAATGATTTAATTCCCAATTTATTATTATATTTGCAGTGATGGGGTCGACGAAGGCATCAGATGGCTTGTGGACTGCATAAAGCGAAACAGCGTCGATCGGCCGCCGCGCAACCACGACGATAACTTATAAAGGCGACACCTACACCCGGTGCATGTATAATATGTCTTACGCCCGACCGAACGACACTACCGATACAATGAATAATAATTAGTTTTCCTATTAAGATAATGATGTGACTCGTACGGCCCATTGTTTTGTACATACAGTATTGACATTTAAGAATAAAACATTACTAGAACTGGTGCTGTATTGCTATCCTTTTTCAGTGATAAATTGTACCTTTGATAAGAGATACGTTGTGACTGGATATTTGAGGAGTACCTGCACCTGATAAAACACTTCTGATAACAGTACAGTTTACACCGTCGTGGAATATTGTGGCATAGTTTGTGAAATGTTTTTATTAAAACAATTTTAACGCATTTTCATAGTGTTGTTTTTAAATTTTAATTATGGCATATCCTATGTATGAAGTTGATTGGAGTGTATTGCCGCCAGAACAAAACAGAAGGTAGGTACAAATTGCTGATTTTTTATAACTGATAGCTGATAGTGCTAAAAAAACAATTAGCCATGATAAGGCCTCTTGAAATCTGTTGAATAAGTTGAAGAGTGTAAACATGTCAATCATGAACAGTGTTGGTTACAGAACGGAAATAGTTTTCCGTTTTCCAAAAAGGTTTTCCACGTAGCAAACGTTCGTTCAGAATTCACAGGTTGCCAGCTTCCACCACTAAAATTATTTTTAATGCAGTTATAAATAACTTAATGTTAGTATTTATTGCTACATATATTACACACAATATTTTCCTTATTTATTACAACAAAATTATTACGTAAAATTATAGAATTTAATAAAGGAAAGTTATTAGATTGAAAATTAAGCAAACGTCATGTGCGAGTCATGGCGGCCATGTTGAATTTCTTGCAACGCACCACGGAAATGTCAGCTGGCAATTGTATTATTTCTTTGTAATTAATATAATAAAGCGATAAGTTTCGACAAAACATTTTTTCTGTGATAATAAGTGAACATAAAAATGAACAAATGTTGCATTTGAGTTTTAATTAGAAGTGAAAATATGACAGAAGTTAGTCAAAGGTGGCATGCGATTTCACCTGCATTTCTATGGTTTGTGACGAAATAAAATGTTCGCAGACCTAACTAAATACGTGTAAATTCCTTTTTTGTTCCTTACGTTATGATTTTAAGAGTATTCCAGTGATAGTTTTTGTATCAGAGTGGTTTTTCGTTTGACTGGTTTTTGACCTCCCGTTCTTCACACCTGGCTCTGGCCCCGTGATAACTACCTGAGTTCGTGAACCGCAAGAAAGTTATTCTGTCGTTGAGTGTAAAGAATTGATAGAACAGACAAGATGAACGGCTCTGAATCCGGGTAAATTTTGTTGTTTATTACTTTTCTTAGCAAATAGGTTAGAGATGAACATTAAACTGGTGTAATTTCCTGTTTTAAGATTTGTACAGATTGCACGGCTAATAAGTTAGACATGTTTACACTTGAAAACTTTAAAACAATGTAAAAGTATGGTTAATATACAGGTGCACAATATTCAATGGTAATATTTCATTCTTGTTTAGAGTGATGGGTATGATCTCATTGTTTATATTTTGTAAGAATAAAGACGACTTTTAAAGTAGGTAGTCATGTAGAGTATGTTGCAATTACCTGCAGATACAGATGTTTGTTTTGAATATGTTTCATTTGACCATTTTACTTTTCTTCAGACTTAAAAGGTAATCCTTAGATATATTCAAAATTAGAGCTATATTTAATTTATCTATTTATATACATAAATAAAGCTAAACAAATTCAAGCTATCCATCACTTTCACTTACATGGCTACAAATAAAATAAAGTGAACAGGAGATTCTTATTAGGCAAAATATAATATCTTATAATCTGACAGTAAGAGGATTTTCTTAAATATTGGCAAACAAGAATAAGACTTGCCTGAAAATTTATGTCTAAACAAAAAAAAAACTTTAAAATTAGCTTGTCAACCATAAAATCCCAGTAGGAAGAGACCATAATTCATATTCAGCCTTTCAACCGGCAATTTCATAGCTGTCATAGATGGTTTGGACACACCATCAGATCATTAATTTGCAGACTTAAGCAGAGATGCACATAATATTAATGTAATATTCACTTTCCACTGATTATAAGCCCTACAAGAATTGAAGTTAACCACAATTAAACCATCTACATATATCAGACATAAATAAATTTAATACATGCAAGCACAAGTAGATTCCAACTCCAATTAGAACTTCTATATTAATTACATCATATTTTAAACAGCACTATTCATAATAGGTCATATGAATGTATTTTATAATAGTACACAATGCTGTTACATAAAGGTATTGTTTGAGTAAACAAAGCCTTGATCGCATGTCAGGTAAAGGGCACACCCTGAGGTCATTGTGACCTACTCAGGCTCTGAATAAGTAACTCTACCACAGATCTGTCTAGTTTAATTTGAAGATAATGAACAGGTAAATTATCTGTTCTGTCGTTATCTTTATTCTAAATCTTATTTACAGTAGAATAAAGTTTGAAATGGTATCGTTAAAGTCAATATTAGAAAAAATTATACTTGTGGTATCATTAAAACAGTTGTAATAAATAATAAAAATATCAAGTTGATTAAATAACTGTGGACTGTCTTTTTTCTAACTTTTCTTCGAAACATCTATCATTTATTTTATATGATACTAGTAGTATAGTTTAAAGTGTGTGGAATATTATTAAAAAATAAATATAAATGTATTAAACATAATTATAATATATGCTGCTAAAGAAACACAATCAAAACTATGCACTTTGCACAGTATTCAAATATCACACACTATTTCAGTTGTTCTTTATGAAGTGAATCAGTACCGCAATTGATTCTAATTGATCCCGAGTAAACCTGAAGCTATGAATTGTCAATCTCATACATTCAAATTCACCTCTGAACTCTGTTAATAATCATGCTATTATACTGATAATTCTGCAATAATTTTGCTCCATTAGCATTTATCAAATTGGATATAGATTCAAAGTATTACTATTATAAATCCATGGTTTTTAAATGTAATTAGTGGAGTTAATAGGTTTATGTTAATATGAAATTTAGAGTTAGATTAGTTATTGTGTGGTTAGGGTTTGTTTTATTAACCTTACTATTTATATTATAAATGTGAAAATTTTTGTCTTTTTGTGTATGTTTGTTATTCAATCATGTCAAAATGGCTATGGTTATGGTCTGGAATAACACAGGCTACTTTTTATCCCATAGGAGAAGCTAGTTAATATAATAATTTAGAATTTATCCTGTGACATTTTTTGTAACTTGCAGTGTAGACTATGCCAACCGAAACCAACACAAATCAAAATACCAGCAGTGATTATAATTTGCGCATAAAATTTATTTGTGTTCACACTAATCTGTGTTATGAAACATGCAACTAGCTGCACTTTTGATTATGTGCTTCAATTGAGATTGTAATTACGAAATTGTTTTTTTTTTCAGGTTCAACCCGGCATTTAACATTGCCACTATTAAACAAGTGGTAAATGAGGCTATAGAAAGAGGTAAGCATACTTTATAATTGTTATATCAGATATAGGTATTGATGTTTTAACTTAGTCAGGTAATAACTCAATATAGTTCTAGTAATGTTTCGCAACTGTATTGTTATGTTATTTCAATGACTATTTTCTCTTGATTGTTAATTTCCTGCATGTGGAAAACGGGATTATGAATCCATTGCTTTATTACACTTACTTTTTGACAAAGTAAAAACTGGCAAATATAGCTCCTAATATAGTGATACACAAGTATTAATGTGCACTTTGGTTTCTTTATTGGTGGTAGTGTCTCGTTTACTGTTAGGGGGTCTAGATAGTGCCTTATCAGTCATCACGATTTTCGTCACTGATTAAATATACATTGCATAAATAATAACATTGATATTATCTTCAAAAATACATTATAATTTTTATTTTTATTAATCACACATCAAAGATTATTATTATTATAACTGTGGTTGCTTGATTGGCATTGTCTAGGCTTACCTTATAGGTTGCCTTTAAAATACTGGAAATACTTATATAGTTTTGAGAGAAAGCTTAGTTAACACTAACTCTTGCATAATGCGAACTAGCCTTATTTCTCACTATTGTTTAATTTCATTTATTGCTTTGTCAGCTTCTTAAAACTTGATTGACTGTTTATTACTGTCCTATATCTTAGTAATAGTTTACTAATTCATTAGTTTATTTGACTAACAGTTACGACTGAATACTGAAAGGCAACTCAATTTTAAGTTGTTTTAAATATCTGCCATTTAACATAGAATTCGTAGTGACAGAACTAAACTCAAGCGCGACCTGGGTGCTTACTCTTGAAACCAATCTCAATGTCAATGCAATTGCAATCCAATGAAAACTCAATAATCATTTAATGTCAAAACCATATAACCCCTATCGTAGCTGTTAAAATAGCATTCAGAGTATAGAATATAAAACCAAACTTAATACCATTTACTTCATACGGAATCCACGCAATACGGATGCAATGGCCGCTAGTGTTACAACTCAAGAGTACGAAATTTCTCAATATCAATGTCGATCGATCGGAATTGGATTCAAGAGTAAGCCCCCTGAACTTGAGTGGCGTTTGAGTATTTGGACATTAGATAAGTTACTTTTAAGTTCTGCTTTCAGCTATTTGTTTCTCCTTATTTACTAACCATAACATAAAGTCATTGTTGAAATCATTGAGACGTTTTTTAACGAGTTTGTTGTCGGATTTTTTTATACATAAACCTTTGTAGAATACTGACGCGAAGGTCCCCATAGAGTTCAAAATAGGTTGCATATCTTGATATTAACATTCAACTAAACCCTTTATCGATTCGTAATGTAATAAAATCAATATAAATTACGATGGGTATGGAATGGTGCCATCATCATAATTATAAGCCACACGTCCAGTGGTAAACATAGGTCGTCCTTGGTGACGTTCAGATCCCAGATAGGAGGAGGATTTAATTTGTGGGAAATTAATTTTCTTTCTGTTTTCTATTAGGTTAGAAAGTCCCGTATTATAAAGACTTCCATAAATTTACCTCCTAATATTTATATCATCTACTGACTATATGAAAAATACATCCGCTAAAATTAATATCTTATCAAATGTACCGCTCATAAAGTGTTACCTTGGGTCAGGAATGTAATTTCTATCTCGCTAAAGTTCGCTCGTCGTTCGCAGCCCGTTAATTGGTCATAACATTACTCCCCAACTGAGAAAAAGTCTTCAAAACTTCAACTTTCATTCACTTCACGAATATAGTAATAATGGACAATAGGGTAGACGACTAATTTTTATTTTAATGTCCGTCTGGTAGATTATTTAAAAACATTAGACACGTATTTTTTCTTTTCTCACAGAAACGAATAGTTTCGAAGATATATTGATTTGAAATGTCGCGTGACGTCACTTCTCAGTACATTTTATACTAAGAAATGACGTTTTAGCCCCCACTCCTAAACTTTGATTCGTTTTATCTAAGTATTGTTTTATTATACGACAAAATAAAAAAATACGTGTCTAATATTTTTTCATTACCTAACTTACGGACTAATTATATTTTTAATTTTCATACCCTGTCATCATCCCCATTAAAGCACAGTTATAAGGAAAACTTTTTTAGGAATCTAACTGCACAAGTGAATCAATGATTGATAAATGAATTGATACTGTATCTTTTATCAAGTTATTGATATAGGTTTAAAAAAAGTGCTATACGAACAGTGTGTACGTTATCCATATCGTAGCAAGACATGCGATTTTAACCGCATAATTTCAATTGAGTAGGAAAACAAACTGGATAAACCGTAGCTCTTCCAATACATTTCAAATCAACATTACGACTTTAGATAGCTAAACCTTTGGTCCACTCTCAATAATTTCATCAATGAACCATCATCTTCTTCACCTAGTACATAAGTAAAGCACTTCTAACAACGCACTGATCTATGCTTTCTGTGTGTGTGTCGTCCGTAACAGTTGCGCCGGTTTCAGTACGGATGCCGACACCGACGCGACTTCGCGACCTTATCAGGCAGATTAGGGCGGCCAGGACCGCGGCCGAAGAAAGGAGCGTCGTCAACAAGGAATGCGCGTACATACGGTCTACCTTCAGAGAAGAGGACAGTGTTTGGAGGTAAGTTGAAAGAAACCATTAACTATTTCTAATTAATCTGTATTATTCTTGACTGTAATCTCTGTGTGTGTAAAATTAAATTAAATTTTATTCATACTTTTTGAGCGACAGTGAAACTGTAACAAACATCGGCGCATGTTTGTAAACTAATTATTAGACTTTGGGCAGGATGAACCAAAGGCACTTTTGAAACTTCAATATAGTATTGTTAAAATTGATGAAAAATGCTAAGATTGTCTAGTTGTTGAAACCGAACCTGGTTCAAACTCTTTGAACCGTTTGGACCGGATCCGGTTCGGATGTAGAGAGAGATGTAGTTTAGAACACCCCTTATGATCAGGCAAAAAGAAACTAACCCAAAACCAGTCATATCACGCATTATGCCCAAAAATGCCGCAAGCAACAAATTCTCCGGCATAAATAAACCATCAAAATGCTTTATGGCGCCCCGTACACCTTGCTAAGCACCCTATACTTTTCTCAGGTGTGAATCAACCAGTCCGGTTTCCAAAAAACCAACTTCATAAACAAATACAGGCTTATTACTTAGTCTCAAGAGTTCATTCACCTCTCATATTGGCTCGTTCGTTCACTTGCATAAAATATTACGTAAGTGGAAGAAAAAAGTCTAAAGATCGTAATCGTAATGGCGATTTACTTGCAGATTGCAATGCAAAGGCGCGTTACTGCACCTAAAATTTCGATAAATTACGTCTGGGTAAAGTAGGTTAAATGTATGCTTTACAAGGAATCGTTCTATTTAGGAAACAAAAAAATAATCCAACTTACCCCTTTTTAAAATCTATAGTTTCATAATTTCTAAGAACAGCCGTACTTATTCTAAAATGAAGTCAGTTTTGCTGACGACCACTCCTTTTATTGATTTTCTAAAATTACTCTTATAAAAACACTTTTGTAGCAGAATTTGAATGTTCCAAAAATAATTCTAATTAAGCTGAGAGTCAGCACTTTTTGTACGTCAAAAGACAGAGCTTCCACCCACCCTAACCACCCTCTTTTCTACCTTTGGACATATAGACTGGGGAAGTAAAATACTCTATGGCAAAAAATATAATATTAGACATTATGCTACAGTCGTAACTGTTAAGGTTTTTGCTCATTAAATTCATATATGGTGGTTTACCAAATCTACCGCATGAATCACGGCATTTCACAGTAAAATGGAGGTCCTCAACCATTTGTTAAATTAATCGTATATGAAAATCTACTTACAATGATGTAGGTTTACTTTATTTAAATTCTGCAAGTCATTACAGTGAAATCTTTTAAATGAGTTGTACTTGACATTGGTGACAGAAATATGAAACGCAAAACCTAAAGATGACGTCATCGCAATTAAAAAAAAGCTTGCGTAGAAGAGGGATAACTTTCCCCATAGTATGGGGCCCATACTTTTTTTTTTTGAGGGGAGATAGTCATCCAATGACTTCTCCCACCCGGGTGAGGCGAGAGAGTGTCAGACTCTTACTGACTAAAAACAACCCAGTTCCTACTCCTGCACTTCGAGCCGGAGTCCCGGCAACCCATTAAGTCTTCCGCGGCTCGTGGGGCCCATACCTAACATAGCTTTTAACCGAAATCAAGGATTGCGACAATTATACGAAAAAATATCCTGACGAATTAAAGCACCTCTCTCTTTTTTTGGAGTTGGTTAGAATGCATTGATTTCCGACGGGATTCACTGACAATATTCATATTATAGTTATCAGATAAAGTCGAACATAGATACGGTCGTCTGAAGGTCGAATGTAAACCACAACAAAAAGCCACAAGGTACAAAGTTACATGTTACTTTACTACGGAGCATAAACTATTTACTGGACGTCAATCGAAGTTCTCTATGACAGAAATATTTTATAGGTTTCGTTATTATCTGGACTCGTATTTACTGTAATATAATTCTGTATGATTGAAATATGATTTACGTGGAAAAAACGATGATAAATTCCTTTTTTTTATGGGGTAAGCCGGTTTAACGAGCAGACGGATCAACTGATTGTAAGCAATTGCGTCGCCCATGGACACCCGGAATACCAGAGGCGTTACAAGTGCGTCACAAGCCTTTTGGGGATTAGACATTTGAGGATTATTAGGGATGTAGGGATTGAGAAGGGGGGGATAATTGAGCTTTTTAATAACACAAATCCAAAGAAATTCTTCTATAAGTAGTAATTTAAAAGATTTGCATTTAATTTTCCTGACATTTATTATTTACTGCTGCCTCGTTGGCCGAGTGGTCGCAAGTGCGACTGCCGGGCAAGGGGTCTCGGGTTCGATTCCCGGGTCGGGCAAAATATTACTGGGTTTTAAAAAAAAATCTCAGTAGTATCACGGAGTCTGGAATTGTGCCCGATATATGGCAATAGGCTAACCCCCTATTACATGGGACTCATAACATAAATAGTGAAAAGTGGGTGTTACATTGTACAGTGGCATAATGTGCACCTCTGCCTACCCCTTCGAGGATAAAAGGCGTGATGTTATGTTATGTATGTCATTTATTATTTACTGAGCAATCTAATCACATTTACTTATGAACGTGACTGGTAGTTACTCCTCTGTATATGAACGCGGTGTCCCTTTTTGCTTTGTCCCTAAATAACTAACATTTTCGTTGAAATTAGACCTCCTCTTTATTAGAGAGAATGGCTATCCTCAAAGGATTGTAATACGAAAAAGGTAAAATATTTAACAACGAAATATCTTAAGTCCCTTGTGTAAACATAAATAACTTTAAAAAATATGTAAGTGGCCCAAAACAGTGGGTGCTTCGCCCTCGTTCAGGGTTGGTGAGGACTTAAGGCTTGAACAGACACAGGGCACCCTAACACACCACCACGAATGTCCGATACGGAACCGCGGAAGACTTAACGGGTAGCCGGGACTCAGGCTCGTAGAGAAGAAGTGGGTGGTTTTAAGTCAGTAAGAATCTTGACACTCCCTCTCGCCTCACCCAAGGCGGTAGAAGTCATTGGACGATTTTTTCCCCTCAAAAACGAAAAAACCAGACATAGGACAGCCCTCTGATAAATATGAACCTCCTCCTCCAAACTCAAACACCTTTTTTATGTATAGGAGGTCCATAGTCTAGCAATAAACTGTCTCGAGCTTTGCTGATCTGAAAAAATCAAAGTAAGTTTGTCGATGTTCACTCATCTTTATGGCTGGCGTTAGGACGTAAACAGACTTGCGTTCATTATGTTCATGTCATAAAGTTAATTGAGCAGTCAAATGGAAATCCCTGTCGTGTACACTAGGCGTTCGCTTATCTCTGACGTCAGATAGTAGCGTAACATTTTATATAACTCAATGAAAATGGTGAAAATAGTTCACGTTTATTTCATTTGTTACAAAAATTGATCGAATTTGCCGTACCCTATTTCTACGGTAGTCAACGCCCTAGTCTTCCGGCGATTGCCATAAATTAAGATTAGAATGATATCTTGAATAGCCCATATTTTATACGCCTTCGCTACGTAGACTAATAAACAACAATGAATATTTTATTTCCATGAAATCAGTACTTACCGCATATTGTGCTCCTTAAACAGGATAATTATTATAAAAATTACGGCCTTCCTTCATTATCATTTCTATATTTTTCCTTTTGTACTGTGATTCTGTTTTAATTTCCTCCGTAATCAAAAACATAAATCTCATTAACTTGTGAATGTGAGGTTTGTTCTGTGGTTCAGAAATGATCAAAAGAAAATTAATAGCCACGTATCTTGTGTTGTGTTTTGTGTTGATCCCAATTACAAATAAGTCAACGTTCATGTTGCATTGAATATTTCGTAATTAAGAATAAGGATTCAGGTAATATGTATGTTGGTTAATCAGTCTATTAATGCTTTTTGAGAGAAAAACATGTAAATAAATTGTAAGAAACAGTAGTCGCGGTTAGTTTGTCGAATCTGTTATTATCAATACGAAAAATATGTGACAAAATTACGTCATCGCCAATATTAAATACCGAATATAATGCAGCATAACTAAAATAAGTCGATTTACATCCGCTTAGAATGCGATGGACAATCAATTTGCAACAGGTGATCCTTTGTAAGTATGCACCTATTTATGTGATATTGCGCACATAACGACATTACTAGTCCTGTCATGTCAACAAGAGATTATGTTGTACATAATGCATTGCTTATGTCTGATTACTCTCCATCTTCATTATGAAACACTGCAGGTTATATTTTAAATTGAAGTACGTGTGGTCGTGTAGTGTTTGATGTAGATATAGGTCACTTTACTTGGTTCTGTGATATAGAATTGAGGTAGTTAACCCCATCTTCCCTTATATATCATAGAAATCTCTTAAAAGGACACCAAGCCGGGGGTTACGTGTTATAAATCTTAATCATGATTCGAAAAATAAAGAACTTCAACAGAATCGGTCCAATTTCGCAATGAATCCAAAATGGCCACCGATATCGAAGAAGCTTGAATCAACTCGAACCAGATTGCGAAAAGTTTTCCATCCGTACTCAACAGACCTTCCACTTGAAGAACACATAAACTATATGAAAACTTGGCCTATTTTCTTCCATCGAGGGTCGTATTGAGAAAACAATAAAACTTTGTTCCTACTGTCAGTAACCACAACAATCACAGAGTGGCAATCTGAGTTTGTTTGTGTAGTTGCTAACTTCTAACCTACTTTACGGATTATGATGCGGTTTTGTCATTTTGTCATATAATAAAATAGGCTACAGTCTTGCTGGTCATTTTTAAACTTAAGCTTTTGAGCGCCAATCTTATACTATTATATAAAGCGGAAGAGTTTGTTTTTTTGTTTGTTTGTTTGAACGCGTTAATCTCCGGAACTACAAGTCTGATTTGAATAATCATTTTTGTATTGGATAGCGCATTTATCGAGGATGGCTATAGGCTATAAAACATCACGCTACGACCAATAAGAGCTAAGCAGAGCGTGTGAAACCGCGCGGAAGTAGCTAGTGTCACATATACGTGACAAACGAAAACCGTCCGTGGACGCCAACGAGACCAATACTTGACAGAAAAAGCGGAACGGGAAATACGAAATCAACAATTTGATTCCCTATTTCTTTCGTAGAAATTCGGGCGGAATTTGTGTTTTGGCGTTGAGGGCAGGTTCATGTGTGTTTTGCTCTAGCGTCGAAAAGGTTAAACGAGTCCGCCATTTCCTATATGACCAGAAAATTTATAATTTTTGTGGCTAGTTATTGTTGTCACAAGATTAAAATCTCAGAGTTGCAATGTTTGAAGACCAGATACGGTGACACGAATTTTCTTATCAGTCACTCATCTAAATGACATCCGCCTAACTAATTTTGTACCAGTTTAGAAACCTAAATATCATCTACCTAATGTGAATAAATTAGTTGTTTTCCATGAGGTCTCTTCCGTTCTCTATTTTAAGCGATTATGTAATTGATTGATCGTTAGCACTACTGCTAAGTTGGTGGTGCCATCCCAATTGGTTTTCGGGTCGCGCAAACACAATTCAGCTGTCCAAAATTATCAGTAGGTATAGAAAGAAAGAAAAACGGCTCATTAGTATATAGGTTTTTTTAAGGGGAGAAAATCATCGAATGGCTCCCGCTTGGGTGAGGCGGAAGGGAGTGTCAGACTCTTTCTGACTAAAAACCACCCCGTTCCTTCTGCACGTCGAGCCGAAGCCCCGGTTACCCGTTAGGTTCTCCGCGACTATATAGGCTAGAAATTTGTCCAGAATATGGCAATAGAGTCGTGCCCTATTATAAACAACGCGTGTTGTGTTTAATATGTACACACGGCCACACATCAATCTATATAAAACCAGTTTATCCTGGTGTCCAGTCGCGTCATCTTTCCACACATTTAACGTTCAGTTTATACTGGTTATTTAAAGCTTGATGTGTAGCCGTGTGTACCTCTGTCACTGTCTCTGTTTCTTATTTCTGATGGCCTAACTATTATACAGCCAAGTAAAAAATGAAATACCATTTGCTCGTGCCAGAGATCAATGCACTCGACCTAACAAAGCTCTTATAGTGTATGTATAAAGGTGAATACCATTATTATGTGTTCATACTATTTATATTTGTGTTAGGACCTCGTTGACGGTCTATTGAACACCAGGCTATATATTCGGTTGCTGAGTAAGGCAACTTATTGCAAGGTTATTCGGTTTAAAGTTGTCAGTAATACAAAGTATAATTAATTACCAAAGAAAAGGTGGTTAGATTATGTGGAATGTAAAAGGCAAGGATGTGAGAGGCTATAACCAAAAAATAGAGTAACGCTGAGTCTAGATTTGTGCCTGGTACTTGAAATAAATGACTTCTAATAACACTATATGATGTATCATCGTAATACGGTTTGAAAAAGAATACAAGCAATTTGATTTCACGAAAAAACATTAACCATTTCTCATCAAATTACGTTGTACATAAGAAAGTTCTTGTTCAGAAAAAAAATAAAGCCAAAATCAGGATTCGCATGATCAGACACGTCTACGAAATCACATTTCGCTATTCGGAAGATTTATCAAACAAGCGAAAAAGGAAAATATATTTTATGTACGGGTAAAAAGCAAAATATCTAATCTATACTCCAATATATTTTCCTGTTTCAACCAAAAAGAAGCTCAACGGAAAAACAATTTATGAAGTCGCGTACTCTCCTGATATTAATTATATCGATATTATTTTGTGAAGCTTTTGTTTTGCGGTTGGCAACCCTATTTCCGACCCTCCCTTCAGTTGTTTTCAAATCGCTCGTGGCGATAAAGTCCTCGTATTGTTTGTTTTTAATAAATATGGTGCAAAATTAATGAATACATTATCATAGAGATATTATTGTTTGATTTTCATTTCTTTTATCAAGTTTTGGAAGACTGATTTTGGTCCAAACAAATGCTAGACAGCTTTAGGCACGATGTAATGCGTAGTTTACGAATTACAAGTATTATTTTCTAGTAACTCGAAACTACACGTATAGTCAAACCACAAAAACACTCGCTTTATTTAGAATAACGTATTCATCTATTCATACGTCTATCAAACCCTTTTTTGTTTAGCCTTAAAATTCAATCCAAAATTGTGACACTCTGCTGAATAATTATTGTACTATATACATATATATTGTACTGTATATTTTGATGTTTACGGCACGAATACTGTCATAGCTTTTGAGGAACTCCGGAAAAGTACTAGCAATTTACAAAATTGAATGACTGGTTTCGTTAACTGATCGAAGTTAGTAACCGATCTCAACTGGATCGGTTTAGGGTTTTGATAGAAACCGTAATGAAAATGATGATAGAATCTACTGCTTACAAAACCAGTAAATAAAAGAGATAAAGAATCTTATACGACCTAGATAAACCTAATTAGCTACGATTAAAGCACAAAAGATCTTCATAAACATATTGACCTTCAAAAGTGCCTGCCTGATTGCTTACCATCATCCCTTATGTTACTAAAATAAAATGCAACTATGTATTGTAATATTGTCTTTTGTCACCAGATGTCGAAACATAGCGAAACTCCTGTACATCCACATGCTGGGTTACCCAGCTCACTTCGGACAGTTGGAGTGCCTGAAACTGATTGCCAGCCCTCGGTTCACGGACAAACGAGTGGGGTACCTCGGCGCCATGCTGCTGTTGGATGAGCGGCAAGATGTACATCTCCTCATCACTAATTGTTTGAAAAAGTAAGTGGATTTTTCTATATTTGTATTCGGTTTTTTGGAGACAATATGTTCTCTTGGTTTTTTCGTTTTTAACCCAGATATGTTTTATACAAATTGGGTACTTTCCTTAATCAAAAATAAATTATTTCGACTGTTCAATACAATTAAATATTAAAAAATAATCACACTTTCATCAATTAACTTTATGACCAACTTAATTTTGGTATATTTCTAGCAATTTTTGAAAAAATAAGTATGCTGTTTAACGTTCAAAAAACGTGACGTCACAATACACAATCTCGTACAAAACTCATAGAAAATTATAGTTTTTGAAAGTTCGTAAAAATCGTAAAAGTATTGAATTTGACTATTTGGCAAGTACCCAATTGCCAGCTATGATCTGCTGAGGTAATGCTGAGCAAATAATTAAGCTGAGTATACATAATTGAAGGAATAATCTACGTTGTCTTGTCTGATCAGTTAATCAAAATTACGTCTGCATTGTGTACTTAAAATATTTTCTCTTAAAAGGCTTTTTTTTTAAATCTTTCCTCTCAGTTTCTATCATTCTGAACAAATTCTTAAAGAATAAACTAGTTTTTCAACAACTCGCGTTCTTTTTCATTCATTTCCGTTCAACGATACAAAAAAATATTCGTCCACGATTGACTGTTATACATGGAAACTCGACTTCGAACTCAAGGGTCGAATGAAGTTAGTGAAATGAGATTAGGGGCTACAATTCCGTTTCCAATAACCTAGAGCCTTGAACTTTCAAATCGCGTCTGGAGATCAATAAACACTGGCCGGTATTACGAACACCAAAACGCGTTCACCCCAAAGTCCACTTATTTAAATATCACAAATATTCGTAAGGAAACAATCTTTTCTTATCTGAGCTCCGATATTTTTGGGTAACGGACATTGCCAGTAACTTTTTAACAAGAAAATTCTCGACTTTAGCCGCAATAGGACGTTCTTAAAAAGTTCCTTATTAAAGTTGAGCAAACTAGACGTACTTTTTGTGTAAAATTTTGAGGTTTCTATCTTATATTTAACCTACTTGGACTGGTCACTTAGCATCTATTATCATTCTTACCAAAAAGTTCATTACCTTCAACCTTTGTCTATGATCGAAGCGACGACTATATAACCCTTTTAGCTCGACTGGGGTAAAGGGTTTGTGTATTATTGTTGTACAGTAAACGTTGTCTATTGTTCCCTATTCCTTTTATCTATATAGAAACAACAATAGAAATGGCGACCTTAACTGACTTCATTCGTCTTTATTAATTTAGTAATAGCAGTCATCGGTTAATGGACTGCCGTCGAAACTTTTATTTTGTTTCGTGTAATAATTTCTACACACGTAGGATAGTATTCTTGTAACAACACTAGCATTCTGCACTCACTATTTAAATGCCAAATCACACGCGAGGAATTTGTTTTAAAAATAGTTACTCAACTTTTTTTTCTCGCATGAGTAATAATACTCTTTTATCACTGTCCATCAAAAAGAACAAGATCCTAATGCTGAAATCTACATCATCACTAGCCAGAAGACATCTAACCTAACCTAACCTAACCTAACGGGTAACCGGGGCTCCGGCTCGACGTGCAAGAGACGGAACGGGGTGCACTAAAGACCAATGGCCTCCTCTATATCAATATATCCACTAAACTAAGGCCCATAGTAACAGTGAACACAGTTACTTATAAATAACGCGGCCATTACAGGAAGTGAGGGATTACGCCACAGAATGCCTATAACTGCCATAATGCCGTGTCCGGTGTCTCATGATTTTACAATCGTATTAGTACTCTGTGGCCCACACAGAGTATAAAAATGGATTGTCTATTTCGAACACAATGATATGACATACGCCTACTTATGTTTTTTCTGCAACCCGCATGTTGTTTGCATATCATTATTTTTTATGAATTTTTAATCTGTGCTCGCTTTCTTTTTAATTGTTCTTCATAGGATTAACTCATGTTTAAATTAATGGTGTGAAAACATACCTATTGTCAGGGGTATTTTGTAACTTAAGTACTACATGAAATGTTTGCAATGAAATCTTGTCCCTTTTACGTGTATCGAAGAAAAAGATGCAGTATTTAAATAGTCTTTAGTGTCTTAAGTGATTTTTAAACTTAATCTGACAATTGTTAAAGAAATAGGTGCTTTTAAAAGTATCCTATCTTCATAAAGAGGCTCTCGGAATCGTCTAAATTACTAAAGGGTCTCAACCTTCCAGCACCCCTGCCTAATTTAATTACACGTCCCTTAGCTCGATCCAAATGTAGCCACTCCCTAGCTATCCTGTTCTACGTATAATAGATTACGTAGAAAATGTCAAAAGCCACACTTGACCTTCTAAAAATGAATATACGGCAAAGACATTTACTTGAATTTCCCTGACAAAATACCATTTTACACGAGGTTAGGTATGTATGTTACTCACTACACTACAGAATATTAACGATAAAGCTGTCCTTCGTAGGTTTTCAATTCCAACATACTGCAAACTCCTGACTGCCCAGATTTTCATAAAATTCAAACAAAAAAAAAAACACCCAGGGATGTGAAAGGTCCCAAAAGTCAATTAAATATGCAAATATAGTAACACACGACCTCACTCCAAGATCACTGCGAACAGTTACGCTTTAGTTTGCCGCCCGCTTCCCAAAATCATTTATTCAAGCGCACGTCGTAACAAAGTTGTTTCAGATTATCTTTGAAAGCGACTTCGCCGAAAGTCCGAAGGCAAACGTTAGTAAGTCGTTTTTTAGGCGTTATCGTTGGGTCAACTTGGGTCCCTAATCCTAATCCTTATTGTGTAAGAGAATTTTTTCCTTTCTTACAATAGAAGTTCTGCTTAGTTTTATTTGTTTTTTTTTATTGGAAAGAGTAAAATAAGATTGTGTTCTAACTGGTATTTTGATCAAATTGATAATTAAAAGTAGGCTATCGAGCATATATGATTGATTGATGTAAAAGAATAAGTAAAGGTGTGTCAATATTGAAGCTTAATGGTGGGTTTTCAAGTAGTTGAAGACCAATTTTAGTCTTTAATTCAAACTATGCTTACTTTCTAACTATTTAAATGCCAAGTTATGAAAATCCAACTATACTACCGAGACACACTCGGATCCTTTTCCGTAACTTATAAAGGAACAACTATTTTCCTTGTATCCTTGCAAAAAGTTAACTAAATGTGCAGAGATAAACAGCGAGCACTGAAATGGTAAACTGTGTCCATGCTTTTACATTTTCATTGCATCCGACACACAATTACGCAGCCATTTGCATTCGTCTGTCAATAAGGCAGTTTCTATTTTTGTTATTTACAATTTTGCAGAACTTTTCAATGGTTACATGAATGTCATACAGATCTTAACGAATCATAATTAGTTCCAATGACATTGATCGATATTTTTCCGAAATATTCCTAGACTTTGTACCCAATCCTATTCATATGTACCCATTCCTATTCAAATATGTATTTTGCAAACGATGCATGCAAATACTTACAAAGTGACATTGTCAAATACCATAAAATGTGCATACAATGAATGCATTCGAGAATATTCCTAAACTCGTGACATTTGAGATTTAAAACAAAATAGGTACTATCATTGATTTCTGATAAAATCTATACACGTATTGAATATCGATGACTGCTTCATTGATCCGAGCTACTGTCGAATTCAACGGTTTGGGCTTGTTTCCCGTATCGGGCATAGCATTATTGCAGTGTTTATCTTTGATTTTATCGTTGAAAGCACAGACTCAATGTATGTGCCCGATTTATGGCAAGTGGTTCTCTTTCTCTCTCGATTCTATTAGACACCAAATATGTTAAAAGTACTTACGTTACATTTCGTAAGTGCAATTTTTCCTAATATAATATAAATATAGACTTTGTTACCGTATGACGAATGCTCATCGATGCTTAGCTTTGCTATCAACATTTGCATCGATAACCCATTCAAACATGGCATGCATATCGTCCTTTGTTTTAAAACCGGTCGACCAATAAAAATGTGTCATCATTACTTTATCAGTTATCGTGATTGGTTGCATCATACTGACATGTCCAATGAGTTTTAATGGCGCTATTAAAGGAAATCTAGGTGGCTAAGGTTTGCGGTCTAAGGCTCTTTAATAACAACTTGGTATGTTATGTTCAGTGTAAATAGATATGACAAAATTTACACAATAGGGTAGATGCCTAATTTTTATTTTAATGTCCGTCTGGTAGATTATTTTAAATCATTAGACACGTATTTTTTATTTTCTTACAGAAAATAATAATAGACGATATATTGATTTGAAATGCCGCGTGACGTCACTTCTATGTACATTTTTTACGTAGAAATGACGTTTTAACCACCACTCTTAAACTTTGATTCGTTTTATCTAAGTATTGTTTTAGTATACGATAAAATAAAAAAATACGTGTCTAATATTATTTCATTACCTAACTTACGGACTAATTGGATTTTTATTTTTCATACCCTGTCATCATCCCAATTTTACACTCTAAACAAACTTTGATTGGGTTATGTCAAAATCAGATTACAACTCTAAATAATCCAAAGTCGCAAGCGAAAACTAGTCTTCATAGAATAATTCAAGGACTGCATTTCTCAGGATTAAGTTCTGCGTAGGAGTTATCTACCCACTTGCGTCAAACCCAGTCTTACTGCGCCTACGGGATGATATCTTAGGTTTCTCTATGTTTATTTATGTCCCCGCCATCTATAGTGTTATATTAAGTTGCCATTGAATCTCGCAAACTGTCTGATAAACCTGAACTACGAATCGCCAGTCTCCTTGTAATTGTAAGCTTGAAGATTATCACAAAACCCTCTTTAGCCCAGCAGGAGCACTGGGACTGTCTCAGATGGTTGATATGTTGCATCTTCCAAAAAGGATAACAGTGATTGTATATTTGGATGAATGTTATTAAACGCCAAAATCTAATTAATCCGTCAGTTAGAGAATGAAAAAGTATTAGACACGCATTCTTTTATTTTCTCGTATGAAGTTACAATACTTACATAAAATGGAGTTAAGTTTAGGACTTGGAGGTAGTCACACGATATTTGAAACTCTTATATCGTCGAAAGTATTTAATTTTATGAGAAAAGAAGTAATACGTGTCTCATGTTTTAAATTAATCTACCAGACAGACGTTAAAATAAAATTTAGGAAACTACCCTATTAATGGTATAATCAAAACAAATCATGTAGGTTGGCAACCATTAGTAAAATCTAAAATAGTTTCCGCTCATAAACTTATGCGGGCACAGTTTCGGTTGAATGAACATACATATAAAGAAAGAATTCAGTGTTCAAACGCATCTGGGTAATATTATCGTTATATAGTCAACATTAGAACTCGATCAAAGCGTCGATACATAGGCGAGTCATATTTTAAAATTGCTAAACAATGTCCCATTGCAAAAACTGAATCGATTCGCACCAGGGCCGGATTTAGGGGGGGGCAACCGGGGCGAAAGCCCCGGGGCCTCCACAAGCAGGGGGCCTCCACAATAGAGACTTCGGAAAAAAAAATCTTTCAAATTTCAACTAGTAAACCTAGTAAACATCTTTTCTTTGATATTTTTTTTTCGCTTTTACCTTTACCTACAGCCTAAAGTATGTACTTTATACATACATGATTATTTGATTATATTATTTTAAATATTAACAGAAACAGAAATCATTGATCTATATTTGTTCACTCCAATCAGGCAATCAGTGAAATATCAAAATCTCAAATGGCTCTGATAAGCACTTCCAATTTACTACCCATCTTGAGGGAGTACCCCAATGGCTCAATGGCTCAGTGGGATGGTACTTGCCCGCAACCTCGGAGGTTGGCTATTCGATTCCGTGTCTCGACCATTAAAAAAATATATATATATATATACATATAAATTAATTGCAGTATGTGAACAATTGGTATTCTTCAATTCTTAAACTCGAAATCTGTCGAGCGTCCTCGATTGTTTTCGAGCGTCCTCGAAATCTATCGAGAGTCCTCGATCGTTTTCGAGCGTCCTCGAAATCTATCGGGCGTCCTCGAAATCTATCGAGCGTCCTCGAAATCAATCGAGCGTCCTCAATCGTTTTCGAGCGTCCTCCATTATTTTCGAGCGTTCTCGAAATCTATCAAGAGTCCTCGATCGTTTTCGAGCGTCCTCGAAATCTATCGAGAGTCCTCGATCGTTTTCGAGCGTCCTCGAAATCAATCGAGCGTCCTTGATCGTTTTCGAGCGTCCTCGAAATCAAGCGAGCGTCCTCGATCTCAATCTGGAAAATAATTTGGGGCAAGGGGGCCTCAACTCCTTTGTTGCCCCGAGGCCTCTGGACCCCTAAATCCGGCCCTGATTCGCACGTCTACACAATTACTAACTTATATTCAACGATACCACCATTAGCAAAACACCTTTAAAATAGGGTAAAAATACAGTATTACGTTTAAATTAGCATAAATTAGTTGATAACACCACTTGGCGTGTTTATCGGCGGATAGGTTGCGGTGTGTCGTTGACTTCGCGTTACGTGTCCTTGCCACATTGTCACATCACTACGGGTTGTACAGCGTGTGTTCAAATTGATTATTGTATTAATAACACGCTTGTTATGCGTAGTTGGCTTTCTTTTATGGAGTTTGTATTGATTCGGTTAGTTAGTCAAGCAATAGGCTTGTAAATCCCTGCTTCACATATCCAGTCTGGGGCGTAATGGAGTAAACCTTTTTAGTTTAACTACCTGTTTGGTAATATTTTTTATCTTTATTTTATAAGTAGGCCTTTTTTCCTAAGAGAAAAACGTCAGCCTCATTATAGAATACAAAATTCAGTACATACTACAATAAAGAAGCTAAACCGTTTACAGGTTTAACTTACGTTTAATACTTGTATCTGAATCAATTTAAACTCTGTAACTTCAATATCATCCCGATTGTTTCAAGCACTGATGAAGTAGATTATGAAATGGAAGTCTCTTATCCACAGATCCTAAATAATGTTATAAATGCGAATGCGAATTTGTTCGTGTGTCACGCTTTCACGCCTTTAAATGTACATTGTTATCATCGAATTCTATTCAAAACTTTTATGAATCATAATCATTATCTACTATATTTATGTCTGACGTAGATAAATTAATTTAAAAACATATTCCACGTTCCATGACGTAAAGCACGTTTAGCCATAAAATCCTTCGTGCAATTTTCCCCGAGATAATTCAAAATATAGCGACGGTGAGCCATTTGTTGTGCCACCTACGGCAAAATGATGCTTTCAAACCTTAAACGTTGAGTCTCTCCCACGCAAGGGAACATCTAAACAAAATATTACATCGCCTCAGGAATAATTCACTATTCACATTGTTCATGACGTTTTCCGAGAACACAGATACCTTATAATGTATTATGTTTTCAAATACCTTTCTACTAACAATATTGTTCATGTTTCTATTGTTATAAAGTTCATTTTGTGTCTGATTAAAGTGAATTATTTAACAAATACTTATGTAAAACAAACATAACTTCGCCACGTTGTCGTACGGTAATTTTCTTGGGGTTTCCTATTCTCACTGGAATTCCAGACTTTGATTCTGATTTGAGACAGATTTAAGGTTTCATTGTTAAATATAATAAAGGGAGAGAAGAACGTTTAAATTCGATTGTAATTAATTAGGACATGTCGTGGTGGCCTGGAGGTTTATGACGCCCGCTTCTCATGCATGAGAGTGCGGGTTCGAACGGCAAGTAGGGGAAAGTCCCGTAACGCCGGACTATTCAATTCTTAGGGGAAAGTCTCCCAGTAGCAGACACCTAAGATTTTAAGTAAAAATTTATTCGCTCGTGTTATCAGTTATCGAGATAATACAAGTGTGCGGCGTTAGGTGCCGTCCGGTGTTAAGGGAGTTGCCCCTACCAATGTGACTTTATCCGTGTTATATGTATTTTCTAAGACTATCTAGACTGCCTCGTTAGCCGAGTGGTCGCAATTGCGACTGCCGGTCAAGGAGTCTCGGGTTCGATTCCCGGGTCGGGCAAAATATTACTGGGTTTTTTCAAAAAATCTCAGTAGTAGCACGGAGTCTGGAATTGTGCCTGGTATATGGCAATAGGCTCACCTCCTATTACATGGAACTCATAACATAAATAGTGAAAAGTGGGTGTTACATTGTACAGTGGCATTAAGTGCCGTAATGTACACCTCTGCCTACCCCTTCGGGGATAAAAAGTGATGTTATGTATGTATGTATCTAGACACCACTGACAAACGGCGAAGGAAAACATCGTGAGAAAACCTGGGCTTATAATGTCAAGTTTGAAAACTTTGAAATCGCCAACTCGCATTGAGCAAGCGTGGTGATTTATACCTACTCAAAGTTTCTACGTGCGAGGAGAGAGAGGCCTTTGGTCAGTAGTGGCCACTTATAGGGTTTTGATGATATTGTTCTATATAAAGTATCTTGCTTAGAGATCAGAATTGTGGTATCCTACATTATTTATGATCAATCGTAAGCTAATCTGTGTTGTCCACAAAGCAAATTGTTCTCTTGCGTGTCATATTCCCCATACAATACAAGACACAATTTACTAAAGCACTTCTAACATGAAAACCATTTCTTTGACAGTGACCTGAACAGCAACACTCAGTTCGTTGTTGGCCTAGCGCTTTGTACCTTGGGGGCCATAGCGTCTCCTGAAATGGCAAGAGACCTGGCTTCAGAAGTGGAACGCCTCATCAAGTCTCCAAATGCATACATTAAGAAGAAGGCGGCTTTGTGCGCTTTCCGTATCATCAGAAGAGTCCCTGATCTTATGGAGATGTTCCTTCCTGCTACCAGAAGCCTATTGACGGAGAAGAATCATGGTAAGAAGAATTTTCCTTTTATTTATCCATTTAGCATAATAAGGTTTATGATAGATGCTAATGAAACGCAGCATCGTTAAGATGTCAATACTTCTGGTAAGGCTTATAGTATGAACAAGTTAGTTAGGTTAATAGTATCTTTTCTTTCTTTTTCTTTTCTTTTCTTTTTTCTTTTTCTCACTATTTCGAATCACGAAAACATACAAAATAGTACAAACCGAGTTCAATATCGATGTTCAGTAGTTTAAAGTAGACTGAATAAGCCATGCCCCTTACAAATATTTTCTCACACAATGCACACAATCAATTTACCTAGACCCAGATTTAACGTTTGCCTACTGACTACACAGACATTGCACCTCATAAAATCGCCTCATCACATGATCTCGAAACTAAATAAAGCGTTAAACACACTAAGAACATTGATTTTCACATGTCTATAGGAGTTTACACGCGAATACAAGTCGAGGTATACATAACCTATCAGTACTAATAATAGTTATTTTTTGCTTTTTAGTTTAGACTTTTTGTTTGTTATTAGTTTTTGGTTTTTTGAAGTCGGTTTTATAAACGCAGTTTTTATTTTATTATTTTATCATTTTCAGTGTAAAGCTACATATACCCGTTTTGTTACTTATAATCTACATAGGTGCAAAGTTCTAATCAATACAAATTATACAAGCTTAAACACAAGGTAGTTACAGTATACCGTTGAGGAGTTCCCTTAACAATTACACTTCTTCATCATCAGACCCTTAATGACAGCCCTACTCTATCTAGGTGTAAAGTCCTCATCAATACAAATTAATCAAGCCCAAACACAAGGTAGTTACTGTATACCGTTGAGGAGTTCCCTTAGCAATTACACTTCTTCATCATCAGACCTTTAATGACAGCCCCACTCTATCTAGGTGTAAAGTCCTCATCAATACAAATTAATCAAGCCCAAACACAAGGTAGTTAGTATAAACCGCTGAGGAGTTCCCTCGACTGTCTATCGGCACCATCATCAGGTCGACTCCAGACCCTTATCAAATTGTAGTGTTTAAAAATCCTAATTGAAAAACATAATAGACGCATCACTCGCCCATATAATTTTCGAAAGTTCCCCTCGGTTTCCCTAGGATCCCATCATCAGATCCTGACCTCATGGAAATGGGACCATCTTGGGAGTATACCCTTTCCAACAAAACAAAAATTTTGCAAATCGCTTCACGCATCTCAGAGTTATGCGCGTACATACATACAAAAAAAAAAAAAAGCAACATACCGGCCGAACGTATAACCTCCTCCTTTTTTGAAGTCGGTTAAAAACCAGTCTGACATGGTCTCGGTACAAATGAACAGTCAGCACATTCAAAAGTTTGTTTATACTGGTCTTGCATAGCTTGATTTGTAGTGTAGTATTGGCACGCCAAACACGCGATCCTAATAAGGTTGTCGCACCTTCGAAGCATGCTCCAAGTGCGTTACAAGCCTTAGGCCAATTTATAATAACTTTATCTGATAAAAAAAGGTTGTATATAACCACAAGGGTCCTATATAATTAACAATTTTTATATGAAATTCTTATGTTGGCCTCTTATTTGAATTTTTGTATAGAAACCTACATTCTTAGAATGAATAAACCCTCTATATTAATGTAATATTTGGTGTTCCTATTTCAAAATTCTCCGGTCTTGGATTAGAACCTTCTTTAGGAATGTGTTAGTAATGTTCTAGCAATAGAGCGCAAATCCTAAAGGCGCAAAATTCGTTCAGATCTTTTATGTATGATTTCTGTTTTGTAACAAATATTGCTTGATCCTCTCCAGGTGTCCTGATTACTGGAGTCACGCTCATCACGGAAATGTGTGAGAATAGCCCCGATACCCTCAACCACTTCAAGAAGGTGAGTTTCATTTTAAACCTTACTCCTATTAATATAAGATTACATTTACACTATTATATAAGTTGGCATAGAATACACAATTTATATGAATCTTATTCAATCACAGTTAAGGTTCCATTTCGAATAATGACATTCTAGAATTCTAGTCTTTTATAAATACAAAGTAATATAACAATGGACTATGATATAAATATAAATTATTTTAACTCGTGTCTGTGGCTTGTACTAACCACGTTTGGATAATAATAAGTAAATTGTGTACAGTACCTACTTACAAGTAAAGGCTTTTGATGTTGTACCTAGTACTTACTATTAACGTCATTCGTTTGTATATAAACATTACATTAAATATACATATTGATAGATCTTCTTAGGATCAACCCTGAATGAGATTTTGAATGACATTGTACAGTAAAACTTATAAAAATAGGTATAAAGTACATATTAATTTTTTACTAGTCTCAAATTAGGAGTTCAAGTAACTATATTTATTTTCCTTCATTGGGCGACTTTCCCTTTTATTTATAAACAAATTCGTTAAAAGAAATCCTTTGCTACGTCTATCGATTATTCAGACATTATTTCTAGTTAATTACTCCATTTTCCTATTTAAAAAATGAATACAACATTCCCCATAGGCCTCACCGACTCAATTATCAGAAGCATCGATTCTTATCTCAATTAGACGCATCTGATTCAGTAATCGATAATTATATATCGCTATAACTCGATATCTATCGGCTATCGCGGTCGTTAAACCTGTTCGCGTTGTAATACAGGTTTTGATTTTATTTTATATACAATTAAACCTTTATTGGAAACAGCTAGGCCTGAAGCAGATCTTAAAATCTATAATTATAAAATAAATTGTCTATTGGTGTCCGTCAGAAATTATGAGCACAATTTCATTCAACTTCTCTATCGGATAGGATGATTCATGACATAACTTAATCAAGATATACGTATTTGATGACGTTATATACTTGTTTTTAACAAAAATGGACACCATTTTTTCTAAATTCATTATTGTATATTAATTCTGGAGATTTGCCAATGCCGTCAGAAGTAAAGTTGACTTTTACTACCTAAAACCAAACAAAGTTATCTGAATAATACAAAAGCCTACCGCTAATAATAATCAGTTCACAATATACCAATGACACGTATGTATGACAGTGTAAATAAAACACCTACTTTATCTTCAATACGTACGCAGTATATAGGTTTTATATACACTCGTTATCAGGCCTTATCATATCAATCGAAAGCAACGTGTTCATGGTTTGTTAGTCTATATGCTGCCTTTGTTTGTGTTTTATTATATTGTAAAATAGTATATTAAATTGTAGGTTTTTGTTGGATTTTCTTTAAAAAGATATTGATAGTTAAAGTTGATTAAGGGCCGATTTTCCAACGCCAGATAAATTTTAAATGAGGAATAACTTTAAATATTTGACAATTCTTCCATACTAAAACTCAACTGTCAATTTTAGTTCTCGGCTGCAAGGGGTCATTCAAGTATTACGTAAGCACCATGTGGGGTGGGGGGTCTCTGTTTCGCTTATTTTGGATGATATGGGGGGTCTCTGTTTCGCTTATTTTGGATGATATGGGGGGTAGGGGTAGTCTAGATGATGACTACGTCGTCGGTAGTTATTTACTTTTTTACACGAATGGCAACCCTTATATTGAAATTATAAATTAAAGCAAAGACCGACAAAGAACTAGACATTACGGTATTTAAGAGAATATTAAAATTATAATATGTACAAAAAATATAATTTAAAATGTTTACGTAAGCAAAGGGGGAGGGGGTAAGATCTTTGCTTACTTTGGCTGACGAGGGGGATGGGGGGGTAAATCATTGTAAAAAATCTGCTTACGTAATATTTGGACGGCCCCCAACTAATTTTTTTTTAATGGTTCTTGTATGCCCTAAATGCAGAAGTCTATATTTGACTGTGTCAATCAACAATATTAAAACCATATGAGTCATTAATAAAATTATTAATATATGTAGAATAGACTCTACTTATAGACTATACATTTTTTATCTATAGACTCTACTTATAGACTATACATTTTTTATCTATAGACTCTACTTATAGACTATACTATTACATTCATTCATGATGATTCATGAATAATTTTCTACTTAAGAGACCAAACCAAACAAAGGTTGAAAAAGAATAGTACCCATCTATCTACTTCTTCGTGTTAATCAGACCCCAAGTAATGTATTGGCAGTCAAAGACTTAATATCGATAATTTCATTAAAGCCATACTTTAATGCACGTGTATTTAACAATGAAATCCGATAAAATGTATCGATTATGAGTCAGTTCACCTTTCTACGTAGTCAGTGACAAACAATAAATAGTTCTCGGAACATTACAATATTTCAAAATAAGAATTACATTCACTTTTAGCACGGCGCGTTTGTTCTTGTAGAGGTCGCTTATATACTTCTATGAAACGTCATAACAAAAAAAGTCCTTTCAGTTTCATCTCTTTTTAGTTTCATATAATGTATCACTAAAATCAATAAAATACAGAAGATTAATAGAAAGAAATAGTTTTAATTGGATTCATTTCTCAGTATTTATTTCTAACTCTACAATAGAACATTTAAGTTAGGAAGATTCCATTTTTAAAGCAATGTCGTTTTCTCTATGGTTTAAGTACTTTTAAGTTACATTAAATCCTGTATAGTTACCACGATATTTTATAAGGTGTATTTAATAAAAGTATAACATGTTACAGAAATGTGTAGTCATTGTTCAGTCAGTTATACAAATACAATTTGTTCAAAAGTAGAACTATTAAACTTAAAATGTGTGTGTAACCGGCAGGCAGACAGACATTGCTCTATTTTGAAATACCTATCGTAGGACATAATGAATTAACTAAAAATGACGAGTCCCTCTGTGATTCGAAACTAGTAGAGCTTTTCTCAGTATATTTACGTGAGTACTCGTCATTTTTATTTAAGAAATTGCTCTGTATTATAATTATACTAACAAGAAATTAAGCAACTGACATCATTATTCAATAGATACATTATAAAAAAGGTTCAACAACAATAATGACGTCACATTTCTGTAACCTAGCTTAAATTAATGCTAATTGTTATTATAATGCGTAGCTCGTGAAGTATGACACACTAATATATTGTGTTTGTTATCCGTAGGAGAGCGGGCAGCGCGAGGTAACATACAAACGCTGATCCATGCACTTTATAACGTTCTTGTAGGCTGATGACATTGTACTCTAAATTAACCCTTAATTACATATTGATAAACATTATAATGACTTATAACTATACCATGTCACTATAACTGTTAAAAAAATTTAAGTAGTAACACTGATAAACATAAAGTCGAAATTATGACCAACTAGCGACTGGTGCAATATGCATGTATTATACATATAAATCTTCCTTAAGAATCACCATATCTATTAAAAAAACCGCATCAAAATCCGTTGCGTAGTTTTAAAGATCTAACCATACATAGGGACAGACAGACAGCGGATTGCGACTTTGTTTTATACCATGTAGTGATATCTCTTATGTATTCCTATACATGGTCCAAATTCTAGCAATGTCCTGTTATGGGCTGTCAATGTGTGACTGTAACTATGAAAATTGACATTGATGTGATAATTCAATGTTTTGGACATAAGCAAAGTTATTAAGTTATCGATGATTTAAAAATATTCTCAGAATAGTCTTGCAAAATAAAACTATGGTCATGACATGACTTTAGGCAAAGATGGACATTTCTTATAGATACGTATTTTTATACTATTTATTATCTTATGTACAATGTCAACAGTCTACATAACAAGCATGATTGTAATATTGATTGTGTTGGTTATATAACCATATTTATATGTGGGTTAATATTAAGCTGTTTGAGGGAAGCCATATAGTCAACTTAAGTCAAACATTTTGCCCAAGACCTACCTTTGAATTTTATAATTCTTTATAACTCACAATTACCTAGAACACTAAACATTTTTGTCCATTCAGAACACGTCTAGGTAACACCACTGAACATTGACCACTTTCAGAAATATAATAAGGCTTATTATGGCTATATGGTTTCTTCAAAAATCATGGGACAAAATCATTAAAGGTTTAATATAAAACTCTCAACCATTCGTGTAGTGTTAGTAAAATATAAACTTGTGTGAATAGCACTCGATTTAGGCACATACATAATTATAATAAACATAATTTATAGGTAAATAGTGTTTTCTCAACAACTTTTCTAGATAGAAATTAGATAGTTACTACCAAATTATTTGGATACTAGATAAAAGTACCTCTAATAGGATTAAAAAATAATAAAATTACAATGAAAAGTGATTATAATATTGTTAAATTATTTCTCTTCTATGTCCTTTATCTGATTTAAACTATACTCATCCTACATTTTTCTTAAAAGAAAGTATCAAAATGATTGATTAGAAGCATACAAGTAAAAACTACACCGTATCTCATCTTAACTATAAATAATTTGGTAGTTATTTACTTTTTACTTCCATATATTATCTGTTCAAGTAATGTTATCAATAACATTTGGGATTTCCACTACATAACAATCAATAAAACTTCATATATTACCGTAGCTCCCTATCCATCACAAATATCATAACTTCAACTAGTGTACAGCAAATGTAATCCTTAATACACCAGACTTAATACCTAAACTCATACAGTAGTGTATTCTTTAAAAAAGTAGTTAAAAATACATATATGTTTTCTTTTAAATCATTTTAAGGGAATCCCATTTTACACCTACATGACTAATTACACAGTATAAAGTTAGCACCAAAGAGTATGTGACTAATTTGTAGCAAAGAGGTTGGAGGATTATTTTTTATTTTATTTTTTTTTCGATGTAAATGCCCAGTCCCATGTATTCGCTGTCGTATCGTGTTGTAAGCCTGTTCAGTCAGTCTTCGAAATTTGAAACTCCATTTTAAATGAAAAAGGACTTTTCACAAGCTATATTACAGCTGATTTAGACGATTTTGAATTCTATATCGTTGTTGCAAGAATGATGTTGATAGCAAAAAGTGTTTTTACCAACATATTAGTCAATTTTAAGATCTATTATGATGCCTATAAACGCAAAAGATACAGTTGTATCAAAACAAGGCAACTATAACACTGGACCCTTATTTTGATAAATATAGAAATCAAATTTGCTTGAAAAAGCTGTAAATATAGGTGATTAAAATACCAAATTTCATTTACTATGGAGTGTATAGTATGTATTGAATAATGCCTGAAACATTTGTTTGTATTTTTTCTCTCTGAATATATATTTTGATCGCTTTGCAGTTCTTTGTCTATGTGCATTGGGCATTATGTATTTGGTAGATACTTATATATAAAGGCATGGGTTTGTTTGTAGATCGTACCGAATCTGGTGAGGATATTGAAAAACCTCATTTTGGCTGGATATTCACCGGAGCATGACGTCAGTGGAGTTTCAGACCCGTTCTTACAGGTAATGTGATGAAATGTTTTATTTTTTCTTCAATAAAACTAGCTTAGTCATTCTGTAATTTCATGTCATTGTTTAATTCATATCTTATACTCTTATATAAAGCGGAAGAGTTTGTTTTTTTGTTTATTTGTTTGAACGCGCTAATCTCCGTAACTACAACTCTGATTTGAATATTCTTATTGTGTTGGATAGCGCATTTATCGAGAAGGGCTATAGGCTATAAAATATTACGCTACGACCTATAGGAGCTGAGCAGAGCGTGTGAAACCGCGTGGAAGTAGCTAGTTTATAATAAACTTAATTGTTACAGTTGCCTTTACATTGGAAAATATAATATTTAATTCGGCTCACCAAGCTAAAATAATACAAATAATAATGTTATTGAATTCACAAAGTATTACAATGATCAATGTCCAAATTCGTCAATAAGGACTACACTTTAACACAACCATTACATACCTATTATTAATATATTCGTTAATAAAGTTATCCTCGTGTACTCGCAAAATTCACACATTAATAAATACACAAACAGTAATATTTCCCAATCATCTATTCTCTTTACCTATATTACTGTTTGCTTAACATTTTCCTCTAGCCATAACGTTGAATATAACAAGATAATCGCTTGCAAAATAACCTATACTTATCTGTTTTCCTCTAAAATTATAGTAAAGTTTGTCTCCCAGGTTTTTCCGAGGTACTAGAGACGTGTCTTATTTAAATACTGGTCTTTTTCCGCATCCTTGATCATAGTTGGGCTTTGTCATCAGATTTATAAATTACTGCCTCGTTGGCCGAGTAGCCGCAAGTGCAACTGCCGGGCAAGGGAGGGGGCTCGGGTTAAATTCACGGGTTAGGAAAATGCTACTGGGTTTAAAAAAAGCACGGAGTCTGGATCATACATGGCCCGGTACATACATGGAAATAGGCTCACCCCCTATTGCATGGGACTCATTACATAAATAGTGAAAAGTAGGTGTTACATTAAGTGCCGTTATATGCACCTCTGCCTACCCCTTCGAGGATTAAAGGCATGATGTTATGTTATGCTTAAATGTATATAACTGATAATCGTACTCTACTTACTGTCTTCATTAATTTATATCCAGAAACCAGTAATTTCTTAAATGCAGTTGCTATGAACTAATAATAAAATAATCTTGTTGAATTCGTCAGTGAACAATCTAAAATCTTATATAGAATTTAACACACGATCATCAAATATCAAATTGCTTCCAGGTTAAAATCCTCCGCCTTCTACGGATACTAGGCAAAAACGACGCCGAAGCATCCGAAGCTATGAACGACATACTAGCCCAAGTTGCCACAAACACGGAAACCAGCAAGAACGTTGGCAACACCATTCTCTACGAGACTGTGCTCTCCATTATGGACATCAAATCCGAGAGTAGTCTCAGAGTGCTAGCCATCAACATACTGGGCAGATTTCTACTGAATAATGACAAAAATATCCGCTACGTGGCGCTCAATACGCTTTTGAGGACCGTGCACGTTGATACATCGGCTGTTCAAAGACATAGGACTACTATTTTGGAGTGCTTGAAGGTGAGTTTTTGTTCTTTCTTTTACCTATTGGTCTTTAAGTGCAGTTTTTTAAGTTAACCAAAGGTTTAGTGGTTAGTCCATTTGACAGCATACTGACAATTATTATAAAGTCGAAATTGAGTTAACATTGGACAGCTTCATTTCGCCTCTCTCTCACCTTCATCACCAAAGCATTAGTCTCTGTGACTAATAAACCTTTGAACTTTCATTTAAAACTATTAATCGGGCAAGTTATATAATCTGAATAACCCATCAGCTAGTTATCTTCAATAGAAAAATAAACAAACCTTCTTATTTCGCCAGGACCCAGACGTATCAATCCGCCGGCGTGCGATGGAGCTATCGTTCGCTTTGATCAACGGCCAGAACATTCGTTCTATGATGAAGGAGCTGCTGACCTTCTTGGAGAGATCTGACGCGGAGTTCAAAGCTCACTGCTCCAGTGCCATGGTGTTAGCTGCTGAGAGATACGCGCCTTCGAACAAATGGCATCTTGATACTTTGTTCAGAGTTTTGCTTAAGGTAAGAAGCTAAACTAATAGCGAATTGAATAAATGTGAAATAATGTTGAGATTTTAGGTAGAAACAATGACCTTGCAAAAATTATGATGTCATTAAATAGAGTCATCCGTGTAAGGCTATCCTTGTCCTATGAAGATTGCTAATTGACAAAATGTTGCCATCGATTTTTAAACACTCTACTCTTTCTCACACTATCTCAATTTTACGTGATATTAGTTGTTGCAACCCAATAAGAGATACTGAATCTGAAGTTGAACATTAAGTTCAGGGGCAAACTATGCCAAATTAGCACTTATAACATAATTATAACATAATAATTAGCACTTATATATTTAACTCGCCTCAAAGAGCCATTACACCACCGTAGGGCCCAGTGATGCCCGATACGGAGCCGCGGAAAGCCTAACAGGTTGCCGGGGCTCCGGCCCGAGCAAGAGTAGGAACAGGGTGGTGTTCAGTTAGTAAGAGTCTGACACTCCCTTTCGCCCAACCCAAGGCGGGACAAAAGTACTTATGAATGGGCGAATTTCTCCCTTCAAAAAAATTTATCTAATATTTACACCCAATTTCCTTCCTCACCAGGCGGGCAACTACCTCCGCGACGACACGGTGTCGAGCACGCTGCAGATAGTGTCGTCGGCGGCGCCCGAGCGACAGGCCTACGCCGCCATGCGACTCTGGACCTCGCTCGAACGCTCCGCCGTCTCCGGCGACGCTACTGAGAAGCAACCGCTTGTACAGGTACATCTAACTATAATTATAATAATTATAAGCAGCTTTGAGAGTTCTAATATTCGGCAAACGAGCAGACGGACCTACATCATGGTAAGCAATCGACCCGGGACTGTAGAGGAGTTACGAATGCGTTACCGGCCTTTCAGAGGGTCGGCCTTAGTTAATGGCTGTGATAACAGTGCTTACTCGATATTATAAGGTTGGTCCATTCGTCCAAGCACGGCTCTCTCACATAATTGTATTGTAAATAATTGTTTGTATTTGTAACAGGTGGCGGCGTGGACTATTGGTGAATACGGTGACCTGCTGGTGTCTGAGGCCAGTAACGCAATCTCTATGGTCGACGAGGACGGCGTCGGTGAGTTACATTCCAGTACATTTGCTGACCCAATACACCAATCTATTAATCGATGGACGACAAACTACACTGTTTGATAAAATGCGATAAGTCATCATCTTCATCATCACTCACAACTACTTCAGCAAATGATAGCCCATGAATAATAGAGTTCTAAAAGGGGTTTGCCATAATCTCCATGCTTGGCAAAACCTCTTATTCTGTTATGCCTTTAGGTTCACCAAAGAGGTTCATAAGTGTTGATTTCTAATAAAAATACAATATAATTCCAGATGACTTCGTGCGTCCGTCGGAGGAGTACGTGATAGACATATACCAGAAGTTGCTGTGGTCGACGCAGCTCTCCATCAACACCAAGGAGTATCTGCTACTGTCGCTCGCCAAGCTGTCCACGCGGTTCACCACGCAGCCTAGCCAGGAGTAAGTTATATACGAATTAAATAGACTATCTTGGTATATTGTTAACTTTTTAAATGAGACTTAAAGGTTAGTTTAGCCTTGACCTTAAAATCTAAAAGGTTTCAGATTAAATTTTTGCCAATGATTGTTTTTTACAATTAATATTGTCCCATGTCTACTAATGTCATGGACTAATGTCCCAATGAAATTATGTAGATAATAGATTCCTATTTCGAAATTAAAATCCAAAAAAATATTGTATTCCTCCCTGAAAAATGTCACTAACTATAATGTTATTTTTTTATTTCCAGTAAAATTCGAGTGATCATCGACACGTTCGGATCTCACATCCACATTGAATTGCAACAGAGAGGAGTGGAGTTATCCCAATTATACAGGTAATTTATTTCTCTAATACGAATTAATTTTATCATATGGCTTTTATTTCCTAAATATAACTTTGAAATAGGTATCATCACGCTTTAAGAATATAGTGTCACGATTAATTCACGCCATGTAATTTGCGTATGTAAAACAAGAATTATCTTTTACATAAATGCCATTTCCTACCTGAGAATTTTTCTAATGTCCTTTGTACTAATCATAATCAATATGTAACAATAATTTATGACGGTTGCAGGAAGTACGCGCACTTACGGCCGGCGCTACTGGAGCGCATGCCCGCGATGGAGGCGCCCGGCGGACACGCGCCAGACGACGCCGACAACGACGCGCTGTCTGACGTCAGCCCCGACCACAAACCCGATCATGTCAACAATGTAAGTACTAATTCATTATGACATAGGGAACCGGCCACCGTAAGCGTGGGCCTACAGATGGCGAGCACTGGTAGCTCGCCGCCCGACCAGAACCAGACCCGTGCGTACGGCGCCGAGAGTTCCGCGCGCGACATAAAGAGCCAACAGACCACCACGAATGAGGCCCAATAGGGCTGATGTCAATGCGGAGCCGCGGAGAATTTAATAAGTTGTGGGGGCCAGCTCGAAGTACAGAACTAGGAACGGGGTGGTTTTTAGTCAGTAAGAGTCAGACACTGACACTTCCTCTCACCTAACCTAAGGCGAGAGAAGTCATTCGATAATTTTCCCCATTAAAAATTACCTCCCGAGGTATTCAACAACTATATTTATATTCTTTATACTTAATCATCTCATATTATATGTTCCAGGACGCACTACTAGACCTGATTATTGGGTCGGACCCCCTGACGAACGGAGACGTGGAGCACAAACCCTCGCAGCCACCAGCCAGCAACAATAACACCAGCAGCAATGTATGTTATACAGAAATGATTCAACATGCTTCATTGTTTACTTGTTCAGCTGTCAATTAAGTTTTCTGCCATTGACGGAGGGTGCAAATGAAAACTAATCATATTACTATGTTTATTATAATTAAAATTACATGATAACTCTTAAAATCTAACTAACCTAAGTGCGAATGCGTTCGAAGTTATAGCCACACTGTCATCTTTTCTCAAAATTAATTCATAAGTACGTTTTATTGAAGTCACATCTAGTGGGGTGATCGATGATGAAGCGATTCGCAGTGGCCACACGAGGACACGACTCAGAATGTTGCAATACTCCGTAGGACCTTCAATGTCCTGATTAATCTGATCTGGGCCTCGTGACACGGCGTTAGGCAGGGTGTACATGTGTCGGTACCGATACGTAATATCTTCACCTTCAGAACAGCAACTATTCGACTAACCTTAACAATAGAGCTGATCGCTATTCCGTGGTTTTTCTTTTCACCGACTTCCCAAAAAGGAGGAGGTTCTCAATTCATCCGGTATCTTTTTTAACTTCCTCGATTTACAGATAGAATGGAGAACAGGTGTCCCTGCCAGGCTAAATTTTGTCAGTTGCAATAGTACTTTCCGAGTCTGAATGCTCACAATTCTTAGAATTAATAATTATATCCGTCTATTATCCAGAAGCGATAAATTTTAGCTGACCAATTGCTTATGTGCAATTTCAATGACGAACATTTATGCTTGTAGTGTCGATATTTGATCCTTCTTCAATGTAACGTACGATTATTCCTTTGTTCATTACTTATACTTAGTAGTTCATTACTTACAGTGCCGTAGTGTCATGTCTATCGGTTTTTCTCTTCTACAATAATGGTATCAATCTTTAACCGCCTTCAAAATATAAAAAAAACTCCTCAGTTTCACTTGTATCTATGTTTGTGTGAGATTATCTCGCAATTGGCTGAGCCGAACCTTTTCAAAAAAGTGTTTCTTACACTTAGGAACTTCAAAAAAAGGGAAATGAAATCGAATTTCTTAAACGTAGTTTATAAAATGAATTAATCTTATAATTTAGGAGATTCCATCAATAGTTCATTTTAATATGGAGTTTAAACTTCGGTCCAAGTGCGTCTCTATGGCCGGCCTCATGAGGTTATATTGTTCTTACTGGGCATCGATGTTGTCACCCATTAAGATACCGAAGCGTTAGTGCGCGCTATGGACTTCGAACCCGTGAGAGCCTTCTTGGATGCTGTGCTGCCCGGCTATGTGGGCGATCTGGAAACACCACATCCACCGCGTATTTTCGCGAATGCTTTGGACCTCGTCCACGTGTATCGTTGCCACTTACTTCTGGCTGCCCCGATATTTTATCTTTTAAGTAAAATTAGTGCTTTATATTGAACACTATAGATACGAAAAAATCGTAAGTTCTCCACCGCATTATCCGTCCGTCATTCAAAAACAACGAAAATACGAAAAGATTAATATGCATTACAACGAAGATTACAGAACAGAACAATTCATAACACGTTTTATCTTTACAGGATATCCTAGACCTGCTGAGCGGACTAGACCTGACTCCGACGGCACCGGCCAGCGTGATGAACAACAACGTGACGTCCCCAGGCCTCACGTCAGGCCTCGGTACCGGCCTCACGCCAGGACTCACGTCCGCCGCGCCGCCCGCGTCCTTACTACTCGACGGACTGTTCGCTGCGCCCATGCAAACACCTACCATGCAAGGTACGACTAGGTTTTAAGTTATAAAAGATGTCTTGACTGCACGGTTGGCGCGGTGGCTGGGCAACTGGCTGCCTCGCTATGTATCGCGGGTTCGATTCCCGCACTGAACAACTCTTTGTGTAATCCAGAGATTGTTGTGCCGGGTCTGGGTATTATGTGTATGTGAACTTGTATGTTTGTAAACGCACCACGACACAAGAGAAAATGCTAACTTGGGGCAACGTTTAAAAAAAAAATGAAACAAAGGTTCGTCATTGTCACTCGTCATGTCGCAGAAAAAAATCTAAGGAATATGCAGTATCTATATACCGCATACCTGTAATGTGTTGTCCTCTGTAATATTGTTTGCTGGATGGTGTACATGAAGTGATAAATAAAATATCATCAGCAGACAGCTCATGAAATTCCACAGCTAGACTATAGGCGTATGCAAAAGGGTTTTGTCCGGTCTCTGTTAACTATTCATTCCTATACGCGGTTAAATATCGTGCCATCTCTGACATTGTACAAAGAATTTGTTCATCCGCAGGAAGAGTATGAGTGGTAACTTTTTACTTATTACTTACTATTGTAAGATTTTCTATAACAAAGTTTATTGTGTCTGTTCATAGATCTACCGACAGTGACGGCTCTAGAGAAGAACGGTCTCCGCATAGTGTTCGGAGTGCAGCGCGGCGGAGACTCCGTGACGCTGACGATGAGAGCTCAGTCGTCCTCGCCTTCCACTCTCACAGACTTCCTGTTCCAGGCCGCCGTACCTAGGGTAAGTTTAATAGATCCTATCTACTTTATTCCCTAAGTATTTTTTGGATTTTTGGTTATTATTGCCTAATGGTTTGAAAAAAAAGACGTACATCATATCAATTTTGATTTTATAACAGTAGCTAATATTATTATTTTTACAGACATTCCAGCTAGACATGATGTCACCTTCCGGCACAGTACTGCCGCCGCAGGGTGAAATTACTCAAGTACTCAAAATCACTAATCCATCCAGGGTAAGTTACCTTTGTACACAAACTATCAAACTTCTGATCAACTACCATTAACAAAACAACAGTTAATCCTTAATTTGATATTTCCAGAGCGCCCTTCGACTAAGAATACGAGTATCATACAACGTGGACGGCGTCCCAGTGTTAGAGCAGGCAGAAGTGAACAGCTTCCCCCCGGACCTGTTCAACTGACGAGTGGCCAGCCCGCCCGGCTACTGTCTCTAGCCTGCGCCAGCCTCCGCTGGACACACGCTCTTATATACTCGTACTCGGTAGTTACATCATGGTCATCGATTGTTTGTCTGTCTATACGTAAACTGCAGCTGTAGCCAAATGCCATTTAGCGCTTGTCTACATGTAGAATAGAAAACCGAATTGTATAGAATTGGCGTAAATTTTGACACTTGTCAGTGTCATCCCCATACATTTAGTTTTCTACTGTCTCTGTAGACAAGCGCTAAAGTGGCGTTTGGCTAAAGGCACTGTTAAGTTCTAGGACAAGACAGGCTGCGTTTCTACTGCAACCTATCTATAATTGAGCAATTATAATTCCAATTGTAGCAACTGCATGCTAACTTCAATGGCTGAATGGTTGGTATGTAGTTGCATCAACTGCATTGTCATTAAATTGATATATGGACTGTAGTTGGAAAGTGTGTCTGTCTGTCTAGAGCCCTGCGCTAATACTGATTCAGATAATACATAGTAACTTGAAGTTTCTTATACTAATCCTAAGTGTTTCCTTATTATTTTACTTTTCTTTATTATACTTTAGTTACTGCGTATTATATTGAGTCGATGTAAAAGCGCAGTTACCTTCGGTTGTTTAATTTATAACGGATTTTATGCTAGTGTCGAGTAAACTCGAATGCTTGCATTGAATTATGTGCAGGGCCTATAAAAGTTTCTACAATCTTCAACTACTTAATTCGACTTGATTAATATAAATCTTCTTTAAAATTCTGAGATTAATCTAGCTTTACAAACTGCATTGTGATCTGGATAGCAGATAAGATCTCATTATAAACATATTTATTTATTATTTATACACTATTTAAATTGCACTAATCGTGTATATTCATAGTTAATTATTGCTCATTTTGATTCACTAACGAAAGCAATATTTATATTAGAAATTATGTTGAAACAATCGATGACCGTTTTCCAACTAAGTTTTTAACTGATGGCGTATCTTTGACTCGACGAAGACTGAGCACAGGCCACCTGTATCAGCCGCTACACCGTGTTGTCGAGATCTGCCGCTCCTTTTATAGCTCACCTGCATTGAGATTTGTGAAACATTCCACGTGTTAGGTAGTGTTTAAAGTTAATGCCGCGAGGACCCATTACATATTGATTGTTGATTTATTGTTGGGTGACCAGAGAACGCAACTCCTTAAAAACCCCGAGGTCAAGTTTGATTTTTATTCTCTCTGGCCACATTGTCAGTATTATTACAATCTCAAAGCAACTGATATCAGTGGTTTACTACTTACTATTTCACAACTATCTACGAGAAAGAAAACAATGAAGTTGCTTCTAAAATATCTAAATCGCGATACAAGTAAGGAACGTCGTTACTATTAATTTATAAGTCGTACTATGTTGAGGTATCGAACCGTTGTGAACATTCCCGAATTTGAACATTTTGCCCTTGATCGATAAATTGTAAATTGATGTACTAGTGGACCTTTCGTGTCGTTACTGCTGTACATAAATTGAGATTGTGTGTATAAACGATTAAAGTGAGCAACCTGTGAATTGGAGGGCTGTATGGATTGTACTTAATAAAATATAAATGAATCACTATAAGATAAATTACGTGTGATAATCCACTTTAGTATGCAAGCCAAAGTAATGGTCTTGCGGGGAAGTAGTCAATGTTTTAAAATACACTGGCGAGCCAAAATATCTAGTCACTACAAGCCATGGTGTATGTATGAAGTTTAGAAAAGATTCCTGTATGTATAAATTGTTTTAGAACTCGATTATTTATAAATAAGCGCGTGCCTTGATTTTTCGCTCGTCACTGTATTTTGAACCATAATTTTAATTTCAGATAGTCTGTGTTTGATGTCACTAGTTCAGACGTAGACCAGCATTTTGTTAAGAATACTGCAGCATAGTTACTGCATGCAACCCGTGAGCCGCTTCACATGCTAAACAGTCTGTTGATAGTACTGTTCCTTGTTAAGAGAGTTTTATACTTTGCGACGATGTAAATATGATTGATACATCTCATCAAACACGTAGTTACGCAATTATGGATTATTATAAGATTTTTACACGCGTCTCGGCAGTCGCCAGACATTTTAACATTTAGACATTAGTTATTATGTTTATTTTCATCCTATTTATGTTTAGGTTATCGACTAACCATCATATTCTAATGAAATATCGTAGGAGTATGTAAATCTAGATATAATTTGAAAGTCACTGGAAATATAGAAGACGCACGTGCTCTTAATAGTTCTTATATTCTCTTGTGTTCTCGGGACTATCGTGAACACATATATTTTATTTTTGATTATGTAAAGAGAGCTTGGCAAAAGAATATATCGTCAATTTGGTGCTTCGTTTTACTATATCTGATAAATAGAAGGCCCTCCACAATGTGAGATGTTTATGATTTTGTGTATAACTAAAGCTATGTGAAAGATGTACATAATGATTATAATGATTTTATGTAAATTGGTTAATAAATATTTGAGAATGTTTATATAATCAAATTGGTTGCTTTTATTTCGTAAACACCCTTCATACATTGATCACTGACACATTTATTAAGTTAGAAAATTCTTACATATTTATTTTATTACTCAATCATGGGTGTGGCAGGTGCAGGTCGTCCGCTGACACTGTTGAACAGTCTGTCTTTGATCATCTGCGCCATGAGACCGTGGATCACCTCGATGGTAGTCTTACAAGCATCCTTGGTCGCCTTGCCGAGTTTATCTTCAGTTCGCTTTTCATGGGGATCAGCGCCGGCGACGATGAATCCACCGCGGCCTGCGAGAATATTATATCTTGTTAAAACTTCACCTACTTTATACCCGTATCTATCCAAGTTCCAGGTGTTAAAAGCTTACTTACCAAGACAAACTTCACTCTGCTCCAGCTTGTCCGACAAGTCAAATATCTGTCCAGTAGTATAGTCGGCGTTAGTGATCAAACTGGAACTGCTGAGTGTGTTCACCCAGTACTTGTTCCAGAGAGAGTCCAGTAGTCTCCGATCAAGCGAGGATTTGAAGTAGGACACTTCTAGTGAATAGTACTGCTTGCAATGCACTCCAAAGTCCTCGATCTTGTTGAGAGGGATTGTCTGGTACTCCGAGGGCTCTTCGTTTGCTGGTTTGTAGCCCTATAACATTATATATTGTGTTAATTCTATGGTAGAAAACTCAATACTAACTACTCCAAAAATATTAAATTACCTTGGGATAGGTTCTGAAAGCTCCAAGGCAGACTTTGCCAGCGGAGATAGTTCTGACGGGATCAATGACGATGGCTACAAATGGTTCCTGGAAGTTCTGGTTTAGCATCTGTGTGGAGACATCAATGCCGGACAACCAGCACCCATAGCCAGGGTGGCTGTGGTACCAACCAATGGCATTTTCGTGACGACCAACCTAAAAATAACAGAATTAAGATTTTCAAATCTAATCTTGTTGAAGTTACAGTAGCCAATCATGTATTAAATAAAAAAAATCCAATAGATTTTAATGACAAATTATTTTAAGATCCCTCACTGTATGTATTGTAAAAAAGTAGATGAAAAGTTATTAACTTTCATATTCATTATGAGATCGCGTAAAACACATATATTGAGTTATTTTAACCCTTTGAATACCGTCATTATAGACACAATTAAAGAACAATAGGTGTGTGGACACCGGTGTCCTCGCGGTGTTTGACAGTTAAGAAAAATAAATCAGATTTTAGTGACATTACCTGCTTAGCAGCCTCTATGTATGCAGTCATGTACTCATAAGCCTGTGCCTGAGCATTCACTCTGGTCTCCGTACCCTCCACAGGTAAAGCAAAGGAATCCATCACTATCATTGTATTTGCATCTACCTTACCTAAAATTATAAAAAATAATTTAGTAAGATATATATTTCTTTTCATTTCATTTTGATCTAAGAATTACAAGTTGTGGTTGCCTAAACTATAATGTCCAACTTGTGTAATATTAATAAGAATAAATTTATTTCTCAAAAACAAAAGACAAGTATACCTATTATTTTACAAAATGTGGTATTGTATACATGGAAATCACAATTACTGCAAGGTATACCAAAAAATACATAGTTTATAATGCATACATACAAGTTAATATAAACTGGCAGTTCTGTAGTAGATAAGTAAATCTAAATAAAAATAATGAAACCATATAGTACACCTTACAAACAACAGTAGGGTATATCAATAATTCACAAGACATTAAGTTGGATACCAAAAGTGTAATAAATGTCCACTGACGGTATACTGAATATGAATTGATTTGTTTTGTGTACGTCATGATTGCAACATTTGTCAGTGACCAACAACATCATCATAAAGCTAATTAGATTGTTATAGTCATATTATAGTACATTGTGTAAGAGTATCATACCTAAAAGTAATCCCATAACTTCCAATGTACCACCAGACCGTGCATGCATCACCATCTTGAGAAGAGCTAACGCAGAGATCTTGATATCTTTAAAGAAATGGGGACTGAAACAAGAAATTGCAATCAACAACAGGTCCAATAGACATTATCATACTAAATCATTATCACAGCCACAAGAAGAAGACATCCACAACTACTGAAAAATGGACTCGAGATCGATCGAATTGGAAGCGACCTGCATCTAGCGAGTATTATCAATTAGATATTGTATTACCACTTACTCTTTCTCCCAAGGTTTCGCTGCAAGTATGTCCTGTTGTTGTTTTTTATCGTAACGATAGATTTCGTCCACACTAGACACAGTTTCGATGTTATTCGACATAACCCATGTTTTCTGTGCGATAGACGACTGCGAATCGGCACTTGTAGATGCCATATTGATGTTTAATTGCGATTAGTCTAGTTCAAATTATTAAAATGTTATCACTGTCTTAATTCAACGATCATGAATTTAGAAAAACAAAAATCACAAGCACAATGGCAGACGATTTTGCAACTTTGTGTTTGACAGAATTATGACAATTCTTCGTTGTGACATTGACAACTGACAGTATAGTTGAAAGAGAAAGAAAGGAAGAAAGAAAAATAATTTATTCGTCATCATCATGCATGAGCATGGATAGGCATGAGTTGCTTAATTCGAGATTGATTGAGTATAGTATCATTGTAGACTCGGTTGCCAAAGAGAGAAAAAAAAAGAGTATAATATGACCCTTTTGACTCATAGCCCGCGAAATTCAAATTTTCTTATTATAATTTTACGTGTTTTGCAATAAACGGCTCGCTATCACATAATTTAAGAAAATTAAATATTTTCGGAAAATATTTTCGATTTTGGTAAATCCAACTAGTAGTTTTTTATTTATTGATGTTTTTGTAGTTCGATTGGGATTTTCCACCAAAACTGAAAATGTTGAATATCTCAGAAACTTCCCTATTTCGGACCAGAGACCTTAGGGCTAATTTTGTAGGAAATTAATTGTATTATCACCTCCCGAGAGGAATTATTCAAGACATCAAGTCACCCTGTATATAATAAATAATTATTTAGAACGTTTTAATACAAAAGTTCTTGTAAAAACCGTCAACATATCTCCGCAGGTCTACAATGCACCTACCATCTTTACTAGTAAAAACTTTACGTTGATAATTTACCATCACCACCAAGGACGTTGAAATCATCACAAACTCATTGATGATGATGAACCATCAACTGCTATAAAACTGCTGAGACTCAACTTATCATGATTAAATGACGAAACTTATTATGAATTCACCGTGATGAGTTTCTTGATAATGTCAGTAGCAGTAAGTAATTCGGTTGTAACTATGATAAACTATGAGTAAGAAGCGACATTAAATTATGATTGATGAGATCTGACATGTCTTGGGTTTGATTCCCGAGTCGAACAAAACATTATCAGTTTATAGGACTCCTGGAGAAAAGTATGCTAGTGCTTCACATTTGAAGATAATATCGAACTTTTCAATAACTTTGTAAATACTTAAAGGGTAAATAAAACATAATAAGTAATTTAATATCAAAACACCGGTATCATTCATATTATTATTACATCAGAAACAGTTTCCTGCTTTTCTAAAGCCTTGCATCAGCCGCTCGTTTACTAAGGTTCAAAGTCAATAAAATTTCATCAGACAAACGTGATTAGTAAATAAATAGGTAAAGCCTTGTGTGTGTCATGTGTGTGTGACTCATCTCATAATCAGACGAAAGGGACGAGACGAGGCGTTGAGTGAGGCAAGACAAAAACGTAATTTTAACGTAATTTTATCGAATTATGCGAACAATTAACTTCATTTTCATACACCGATAGATATATACCACCTTGTATTTTTTGTTTTCAAGTGTTTTATTTTTGTCTCACACATACAAAATACTATAGTCTATCTCTTTCTAATCTGTATTCCATGTTCATTACCTCATATCTTTTATCTCTCTCTGACTTAAGTCATAGTATATTCTATCCTTGTCTTTAATTTTATTGACGTCATTTTGCGCCACCCCCTTGATAACGGTTAACCAATCACAAAGCACCACATACTCATTTTCGAGAATCTAGAAAAATATTTATTACTCGCTGAGAAGCCGAACATGTACGACGCAATCGTTAATAGCTCGCCCGCGAGGAAATATCATAGAAAAGTACTCTAACAAATGCTTGATACGGACAATCCGAGAGTTTGATAGTATGCTTTCGTTAAGACACTAATTTATCATCATCAGCTACCAGTGTTGTGGGGTGTTTGTTTATAACTTGTGATAAAACAAATCAACAAGATGAGCGGTCCCATAATCATCACGGTTCCCAACAACTACCTGGCCATGGAGGCGGTCGAGGAGTTGGAGTCGAAGGTGCTGGTGGATCTACCATCTCCGGCTCCCTCCAGGAAGCGTCGACTGGACCACCTCACATGGGAGGAGAAGATGCAAAGAAAGTGAGTCATAATTTGTTGTAACATTGCCTGCGTGTCGGACAAATCCTTTGCTCGGAGAGGTCAAGTTATAGTGGTGTAGTGGGCGTGAATGACGTTTCGGTGTTTCTAATAGGATTACTCGACTCTTCTTTGTTGTTATTTGTTTATAATAGTCGTCTGCTAATACGTATACTGATATGAAAAGCAGGCAGTTTTATAAGGAAGACTAATTTCACCATTACTTAGATTAGTCTGGACTCAGAAATACTGGGTGCAAAGTATTCTCTCTGCGTTTGTTGACCCCGTGATCCGTTATGTACAGTTACGTTCAGCAACAGTTAGCACCTCCAATACACATAGTTAGCGCTAGCAAATTGTTATATCGTATTGTTAATTTGTCACCAGGAAGTTGAAGAACCGTGTAGCGGCACAAACTTCACGCGACAGGAAGAAGGCAAAGATGGATGAGATGGAGAGTCGGATAAAGTACTTCATGGACATGAACGAGCGGTTGACAAGTGAAGTCGAGAGCTTGAAGGCGCTGAACGAGCGTCTGTTGAGCGAGAACGCAACGCTACGCAGCGAAGCGGCGGCGGCGCGGAGCGTCGCGGGTGCCCCCAGACCAGCAGAGTCTATTCCTCAGCAGAAGGAAGGGCACCCGACGGCACTCCGGGCGGCGCGCCTGCTGCTGGTGATGTGTCTCCTCTCGCAGACCTCCTCGCACACTTCGACTCAGATGAATACCTCGATACCCTCACTCAACTTGCAGACTCCCTCTTCAAAGAAATTGATGCAAATGCTGCAGGAACGCCTCAAAATGTAAGTTCATGACAACTTGATAATATAAGTACCACACTCAATACTCTGTTGGAGTGTTGTAACTATCTGTACTATTATAGAGTTGCGGAATTTCCTGTTTGTTGAAACTAAAAATTTCATTTCCTTTAGGTCAGTAGAATATGACTATGAATCATGTTACAATACAACAATCATGTTGGAAACTTAATACTTTCACCATAATGAACCAGATCATAGTAAACTGATGTGCATGATAAGATAAAATTGCTAGTTCTGTTTGGTTCAAAAAGGGTCATTAACCCACATCTTTATCTGAATGGGCTGACACAGATGATGCAATGTTGAATGAAAATTACATCAGAAAATGATATATGGTACTAAAGTGTTAAACTGCTTGTTCCAAACTTGTTTATTATGCAAATTGTAAATGCTTACATGCATTTTATTGTTTGTTAATGTCACAATATATTTCGTAGCAACAAGCTGAATTGCAACTTACTGCATTGCATCATCTTTCTGAAATATTCCAGTATAACAATACAATTTATAATTTGGAGTTCAAAGTAACTTATTCGTTGTTTCTGTTGTTACAGGACACAGTCAGGAAAGCTGGAGAGTGCATTGAAGGAACTAAAGTGGTGGGGTCCGCAGCAGAGCACCTGGAATCCAGTGGAGGTGCAGTCGTAGACATCAAGCACGATGTCGACAGGATACTGTCCCAGCATTCATATGCGCATCCGTACAAACCAGAAACCACAGACACACAAGTACAAATCAAAGAGGAGAACAATGACAAAGGGGACATGTTCTATGCCAGCTGTGACGAGGCCAATGACTGCATCACCATCGAAGTGCCATGTGAAGAACACATTGTGGAAGAAACTCCATTACAGATTAAGACGGACTTCCCTCCCCTGACTGACTGCTCAGGAATGAAGTTAGAGTGTGACATGAAAATGCTTTCTCCAATGACAATGTCGCCTAAATCTGTAGAGGAGAACCTTGGCCTATCGCCTTCACACACAATCTTAAGCTCTGACCTGGGATACGAGTCATTAGCTTCACCGCTCAGTGAACCAGAATCTATGGACTTGTCGGACTTTTGGTGTGAATCATTTTCAGAATTATTCCCCGGTCTAGCATAGAATGTTTCTGCATTTTGACTCCCACCAAAGACTGACTAGTTTTAGTTCTAAGTTATAATGTACCTTGCTTTGTTAAGTTTATAAAATGACAATTTAATTAGTGTTTGTGTAGATGCCTATTTATGTTAAGTAAATGTTTTATATATTATTTAAATTAACAAATTGTAATTTAGTGTTTAGTTAGGATGCACATATGTTTGTAAATAAACAGTTCGTGTCTCGTCTAATTTTGTTGTTTTCTTTACGTACGGTACAAAAAGATACCTTTATTGAATACCAGCAAACAATGGTCAGTAATTTTATCAAATAGGCATAATTATCATTTCTATCTTCAATAAAAGACATTAAAAATGAGTAAATATGAGATATTCCTCAAATGACTCACTGGTAGTAATGAAATTGTGAGTACCTAAATAAGTCCTGATTAAGTAAGTAGTATGAACAGTTTCACAATGATACCTATATTGGTCATCAGGCAAATGTGATTGTTATCTTACAAAGTCACAAATGCGTCATCGCCATTTCTGGGTCACCGAATAAGTTTCAAGCGAACAGGTGTGTAGGTAATATTTATTTATTTATGTTCTGATTATTGTAATATTTACACTGATTTAAGATGTGGATATCATCATCATCGTCAATTAATCAATCAATGTCTGACAGTAGAAACATGTATCTGATTGTATCTGCTTATCCGCTTTTTGTATCTCATCTGAATGCATTTTTTCATAACAATGAAGAAGACTACCCATATCAAAACATCAATTCCTGTTACAAGTAAAAAATGGTAGGTAATGAAACATATCAACTTGGAATTTCCAACTCACAGACCATTCTTGTTATTAGGAAAATACAAGTAAGATAACAAATACGAAATGGTATTATTCAATCATCAACACATTCAGCTGATAATAATATGTTCGTGCTTGATAAGAACGCAATTAACTAGTATAGCGATATTTTTTTTATATCTATAGATAGTGGGTGGCTATGTATT